AAAAGGCATTAAGGATGCTCACCCCCGGCGCCGGAGCGTTTAACTCCCCGATTGCTTTGACAACTTAAGCAGGCCCTTAAACCTCGCTCGAGCCCCGATGTAATTTATAAGCGACCGAGGGGGTAACTCCGCCGGGGACCGTCAAACTGCCATGTGGCAAAACCCTCGTCGGCAAGGGAAGTCAGGGATTATGCGGTGATAAATAAATATGTACGTTTATGCAACAACCACCGTGACGGGATTGCGGGGATGCGGAGATACGCCGTTGCGTTGTAGCGAAGTCAAATTGCGTTTCGAGGGGATCGCGGATTCAATCCACCCTTTCTTGTCAAGTATACCGGCGATCTTTGAACTTTGACTCCGTTCGAGAAATCTAGATCCTCGCTACTTGTATAGTATTGATTATTAATTAAATTCACCGTAATGCGTTTTAATAAATTTTTTTTTGTATTTATTCCTGCAAAATATATTTTGCAGAATTTTATTTTAAAATAAATTTTAATTTTTTTTATTATTTCTATCGTTTCCTGTAATACTTTCAATTTTTCTGTAGATTTTTAAATTAATATTTATGTCCGTAAAATGGCAGGACAGAAATTCAAATGTTTATTTAAAATTGAATCAGTTAAAACTTACCTGCGTTTTATTAACACCAAAAAATCTAATATCGTCTAGAATAATGAATAAAAGTGAATTAGTGACAAATCGAACGGGATATTGAGTCAATAACGAAAACCGAGTTAATCAGATTTATTTTTATTACAAGTAATCGTTACAATACATATCACCGACTGAGAATATGTAGACTTTTACAGCGAATAGTATCACAACACGAAATATACAGAGAAAGTGCGGACGAGCATTCATTTACAGCGCCGAAAAAATCAACCTTCGCGAACAAAATTACTTTCATTAATTGATATTACGCAACATTAAATTTTATAAATTCACATTACTGGCTGAGTTATTTTCAAATGCAATTTAATCCTGACTTTGTCAACAAATATCGCTACTCGGTTTATTAATTATACCTCTAATTAATAAATTTGTGTTCATCAGTAAAAAAAAAAAACAGTATTTTAATTGTGGTAATTTTTCAAATAATTTGACTGCAAATTTATGAATATATATTTTGCAAAGTAATTGTTTTCAGCATCACATTTCTGACACTCACGAAGCTACAGAGTGTTTATCGCTCCCGTCACTTTCCTTTCTAATTCGGTAACTTTACGACGAACGTAAATCAAGATACGAACGAGAAAGAAGGAAGAAACAAATATTCCCGCTTTTCGGCTCAATCCTACGAAAAAACGGAAAACGTCCTAATAACGTGCCGGGCCTAACGCCCGATAAATATGTCTATAATAAATAAATACATGTATATATCTATGTGTATATTTACGCCGCGATTGAGTGCCCCTCGGTCGTCTTTAGTTGCCGTTTTATTCGTTAGCGACGCCATTCTTCCTATGTCTCGCATTTGCACGATAAGAATACACGCTAGCATCGGAATCCTTATCATCGAAGGGATTTAGGACGTTTGTCCTTAGGCCTGATCATGTCGGGACAAAGCTCTCTCGCGCCTTCATTCCTTAATCTTTTCATTTAGGAAAGCCTTGTTCACCAGTCTTAACTGTCCTCCTTCGATGATCGATTCTTTCTTCCACATATCTTTTGTCCTAGTGCCGAATCCTTTAGATTTTGCAATTGATTTCGCATTATCAATTTTATCGTGACATTTGTAGCAAAGTCCTTTGGTGTCCGAAGTGGTATTAATTTTTGTACATGTCGCAAAGGACCTTCTCCATCGGTGTGTTGCCAATAGTCCTGTGAAAGTAAATCAATTCCACTCTCGCGGCTGGAACTGTTCGCAGCAACGGCAGCAGCAACAGCAATCTGCCGAAGCGGGCCGGACTGTTCGGCTGTTGAGCGCGCGCGTGATGTCCCAGCATTAGCTGCGCTTGATCCTGCAGATTTTCGATCTGACTGGAGTCCTTTAAGCCGCGGGTTTCTGCAACGGAAAATCGGACCTCCAAAAAGCTCTGATCGCGAATTTGCGAAATTAAATAACTATGAATTAAACGAAATTTGTTTTTTTTTTTTAGATTATAGTTTTAGAATTTATAAGTGGATCAAATTTAATAAAAGAATAAAATAAAAAGCTTTTGGTAAAATAAAAATTATGAATCAAATTTTGAAATATATTTTACGCTAAAAATAAGATAATTGAAAAATTGGGAACAATGAATTGCAAAATCATTGTGTAAAACGAAATGTCGAAGATTGCTAACCTGGGCGGAAGAGAACAATAGCCTTCATACAGGCGAATTCGGCAGGATCTACCATGACTGCTTTGTATCTCTGTAGTGTGTCGTGCAAGTGCCTGACATCCGCCGCTACTTGGCTGGGTTTTCCCGTAGTAGTTTGCAGATGCAGTCCCGAATGCGGATGCGAATGCGGCGAGAGAGTCAGAGCTGTCAGTTCGGCGGCGCTAAAGAGAGGCGAGGATTCGAGCGGCAGACACCATTGAACTGCATTTAGCAGGAACAGCTCCGACCAGACTTCTTCCAGCAATATTACCTGTGCAATAAGCGCGATCGATCGGATATTTATTTTATCAACATAAGTGAAAATTATCTTTGTTTTAATTATATCTAAATTTTTTTCACTGGCCGATAATTTTTATCGATATCGTTTGCTCGTTTGATCAATTCTCAATAACTTTTTATGCCGCGAATCGTCGCACGTTACCTGGTCTCTGAATGGCAGGCCAGCGAAAGAGGGGAGATTCTTCGCCCATTTGACAGCCATAAAGAGCAATCTCGCGCTGGTCTCGTAGACCGTTTCAGCACTCGCGGGTGAATATAACGACGGGATCACCGGCGGAAGTTGCGCGCATCCGCTTCGTTGAGGTGTCAACGGCTCTTCGTTCGTTACATCTATGCTATCCTCAGATGCGTTCCCTGCTCAAATATAAAATTCTTTTCATACAAATATTTCTAGCAATGACAATAGTAAAATCGCTAATAGTACTGGCACAAATTTGTAGAAAGAATAGATTTAGAAGAGTTACGAAAATCTTAGGATTATCAAAATATTTCACATCTTTAATGAAGTAGAAAGCGCTGCTCAGGTTTTCTATAACTTTTTTTATCTTTAAATTTTTAAGAATATAAATGTTGCATTTTTATTATAAGCAATTTTTAACACTACATGTTACAATCGCGACAATTATATTAAATGTAAAATGTATATACCGTCGTCGTTGTCTTGTCGAGGCGGTGTTCCTGCGTTGTTTGTTGAATTTGTTGTCGGCGCGACTGTGGGCAGAGGTAGTGGCGTAGTATATCTCGCCATTGCTAAGGACACCGGCGGTCTGCAAAAAAACAATTTATGATAAAAAAGTGAAATATATTTGAGTAATAAGAAATAGGAATTGATTATCAACTATCATTTGCCACAAACATGTCCTGTTAAATTTGCTAGAATTTAATTTTACTGTGGTGCTTAAAATGTAGCAAAATATATAAATTTACAAGGATGCGACTTGAACTCGAAATAAGAATGTACTGCACATTTAAACATTTTATGAATGAATAATATTATTATATTTTTCAGATGTAAGAAAGAGGCATTGAGACATTGTTTCTCTTCGTCATTCGCTTTGTTTATGGAAGAGAGTTATAAAAACCGTGATTATCGCGTTATTTTGCAAACTCGATTTGGCGATAAATCAAAGTGCACCGAGCGACGACATCTTCAGTCCGCTTGCGCTCGAGTTTCGTTTGTAGGTTCGTTGTGTTCGGCGTAGCGATATTTTATGTCGATTTCGGGTAGGTAGGCGGGCAAGCACGACCGAGAACAACGATCGAGGTGGACGTCGTCGATGTTTTTGAAAAATATTTTTTTTGACAATATTGATTCTCGCAGTTCGGCAACTTCTTCCATGCAAATCTGATAGTACAGATGACGTTTTGCGATGAGATCGCGGTTAGTCCTCGGATGAAGCAACAACGGCAAAAGTAATTCTTGTTTCTCGAGAAAAATAGTCTCTTGTGAAATGATGAGGTTGTAAAGGTGTTTTATTTCTAAAATATTCTAGCGTATTTGTATAATTTATAAAAAAAAAAACATAATTGCTTATATAAATTGCGAAAGAGTTATTCTGTTAACGTGTCGATCTGTAGCAACGAACGAGGCTGCTCATAATTCTGGAGACGAGACCACCGGCACCATTACGACGTTCGAGGGTAAAGTTCCGTCGCGATGCCGACGGAAGATCGATGCGGCCCCGTCGGCTTCGCCGCGGAAGATGGCAATTCCGGCCGGCAGAAACTTTGCCAGCTGCTACATGGAGCTGTGCAAGCAGCAACGACTGCGACCCTTGCCGGTGATATGCGTGACTCTACCGCACAGTCTTGATTTCACCACCGATCGCATTAAAATGGACGATTGGGGACCGATTTTGAATTCGCTCTCTCTTGATCGTTCGCTCAAGTCGATCAGCGTGCACAGCAGGTTGCAAATTAATCGATTATTTTTATATTTTTATATTGTTTCTGCATTCCATTGCAGAAGTAATATCAAAATATATATTTTACAATAATTTTTTCTTTTCAATACTTTACGTAAAATTTTTTTCATGAATTTTATGATTCGACTTTTTTGGTTACGTTTGTAAGCTAAAATTTGCGATATTTCTTCTTTTTATTTTACTCGTTGCATTCTAAAGGTTGAAAAAATTAGTCTCAAAATATTGATAAAACATTGTGGCGCTCACAATTTCTAAACTTATTTCGAAATTCCAAGAGATTACGTGTCTGTGAGATGAAATCTTCGTCGCAGATATCAATGTCGCAAACCGTTGGAAGAGGTAAATTCCGAGGACAAGGCGCGAGCAATGGGCAAGACTCCGGTGGTCCTGACGCGTTACTTGCTCGAGTGGCTGTCGCAGAGCGTCGGCCAATGCGCGAGGAACTCGGCCAGCCTCACACATTTGGAACTCGAGGGCATCCCCTTTCCGCCGGACTGTATCGCGGTACTTTGCGTGGGTTTATCGGGAACGGAAACTTTGCATCATCTCTCTCTTCGACGTTGTTACATCGGCGATACCGGCTGCGAGCTGATCTGCCGCACGATAGCGGATATTCGCAGCGTGAGATCGCTGAATCTAAGCCACTGCGACCTCACGTCGAACTCTGGCAGCGTTTTAGCATCCGCGCTTTCGAGGCAGAAGCTGGCGCTGTATCATGACACCTGGAAGCAATCGTTGAGATATCGCGAGCCCAACTTTGAAACAATGCCGGGGCTTCGTCGACTGACTCTGAACGACAATCCGCATCTCGGCAACTACGCAGCGAGGGAAGTGATCGAGGCGATACGCGACAGTCTGTGGATGAAGGCGCTCGATCTTCAGCACTGCGGTTTGACAGACCAGATCGGCATAGATCTGTTGAATTTGTTGGAGCAGAACAACACGCTGGCGGTGTTCGACGTGAGGAGGAACGCGAATCTGAATGACGAGCTCGCAGCAGAGGTGATGAGAAGGTTGCAGGAAAACGACGTCGACGGAAAGTCGGAATACAAGTGGTTGGGATTAGTGCCGAAGGATAAGCGGACCGCTTCGGCCGGTATTCAAAGAGACAGCGTGAATGAGAACGCTGCGAAAACTTCGAGACCGCGAAGTGCCTTTACTAGGTACACGAGAAGGCCGCCTCAGGCGATTCCTCCGAGAAGAACGCTTCCGATATCGATTCCACCGACGAAAATGAAAATCCGACCGCCTTCGCCACCGGTTCGCGACACTCAGCCGCTTCAGCAACGCGATGTGAACCGATCGCAGGCGATCGACAGCGTACGACCGACGCCTAAGGTATCTTTACACCTGGACCTCCAGTCTCGCATACAGTCCACGATGAATCGCGCGAATCGCGACATCGAAAATCAACCGGAACATGAAGACACTGTGCATTGCTGCGAGGAAACAGGCTCGAAGAAAAGCATCGATTCGAGCAAAGTGAACGTCAGCGTGCAAAACGTGGATCGGCAGAATGATGTGGAAACAACTCAGAATATTCTCCAGCAATTGATCGAAGCGCGAGAGGAGTACGATCGTCTCCTGCAGGAGACCAAACGGACCGATTTTCTGCTCGTCGAGGAACGAGCGCGCCGCGAGGCCGCCGAGATAAGTCTGCGATCGGCGCAGAACGACATGGCCGAGCTGGAGAGTGCTCTGAAGAGGAAGGAGAGCGAGACCAGAGGCTATCTGCTGGTCAGCCAGCAGTCCTTAGACGAGATATGCCTGTCCTTTGAACGTCTCCTGGAACTGCTGGAACGCGTAGCCGCCAATCATCCATCCGTAAAGACGCAGGACTCGCGGCAGATCGCGAGCGCGGATATCAAGCAGCGCCTGGCATCCGTCATCAGACATACCAAGTCGGAGAACCTGAAGAGAGGCTACAAGGTGGACATTGACTTGCCGAAACACGTCATAGACAGCGCACGGAAGCTCGTGAAATCCGAGAGCGACGTGAGATCGGCTCAGCCGATCCCAGCGACGCATATTGAGAAGAAGATCGGCGAGTGTCCCGACAACAACGAGCCGTGTAAAAAGCATTACGGTGCCGACAAGCCGATGTCGCCCGGCGATCGAGCTCGAGCGATCTTCGCGAGCATCGTCAGCGGCGAGGCCCTGCTTGAATTCTACTAGTCGACCGATCGGACAAATTCGACAATCGTGCGAAGGGCACGGACTTTTTTCTCGAGGTTTCGCGTGGAATGTATATATACATATTTTGTACATGTATATTGTACCCTCTCTCTTATATATATATATATATACGCGCAAAAGGAACGTATATACACGCCGTACTCAACTTTTCTATTATCAGGAGGTAATTCTTCTATTACCGCAGCGCCATTTTTTTACTATAAGCTTTGACTCGAACATCATAAACATCTAAGAGATGTGGAAACGCGTAAAAACTATTCTCTAGACGTTCATCAGTAAAGCTCTTTTGTATTTTCGTGTTGTTTGAGAAGTAAATAATTTTCATTGCTATTTCGATGTATAAGACTGTATCTGAGCTTGCGAAATCGGTTCTCATTGAAATTCTCAGTTTCCGTGATGCGTTGTGAAAAATTGATTCAAACGGCTCGTATTATCTGTTAGAAAATCTGTGATTACTTATTCATGTCACAATTATCTTAATCGCGTGAAATACGCGGCGGTGATCTGAACTTCGTAAAAAATGTATTTGCAAAACATTAATTTCTATTGATTTATACATTCGGTCATAGAATATTTTTCGCAACAAAATGTAAGTGACAGACGACGCGACGCAAGAAATTGCTTATTCAAGAGAACGGATGATCGAGATAATTACTGGGTTAAGAATACCAGTTAGCGTTTCAGGGTGATCGACGAAGTGTATAATCCACGGTCCGAAGACGACACGGCTAGTCGAGAAGGCAAGATCGATCGCTCACGCGACGAGGAACGTTCCTCGTTTATAGCCACTTTTTTCTTAGCGCGCTATTGTATATGGAATAAATATTATTTATTATTTCCGTAGAAAACTTTGTCCAAATTTTTTGCTGCGAGCGATAGGTAAAATTACTTTTCCAATTTATGATTTGCACGGTATCTTCTTTTCCTCACTTCTGGATTTCAGTAAAAATTATGATTTTTTTTTTATCGTAACAATAATCTCACGTTGAAGTTTATTTACATATAATTATAGTTTTTAGATGCCGCATTTTTTACGCGTATTGTGCAGTGCAAATTTAGATATTTTACATTTACGTAATCGAATAGCTTATTTTAGTAGAAACGACCGTGATGCACATCGGATTGTTGTATCGAACAAAACAACTGAATCGTTTATCGCTGAATCATTGCAATAGATTACATAAACTTTCTCTCTTTCTCTCTCTGTCTCTCTATTATGTAAATATGAAATTGCAAACTCTCGTATGAACACATACTCAATCGCCTCTGTCCTTTTATTAATTTTTTTACATTCGTCAAAGTTCTTTAAATTAATTAATTACACAAAAGACAATTTTTTACACATTCTGAGTAAAATATGATTGATCTTCAAATTGTCAAATTTACAATTTACATATGATTCGTCGAAGTCTCTTTTTCCGTCTGGGGCTTTTAATTTTCAACTTTTCAACCTTATCGGAAATTTCAGAGTGCAATTGAGAATGGATCGATGTTGATTTAATCCGAGTAATACTAAGCTGATATTGCGAAAGCATTGATCGTGTAACGAAGTCGCTTGTGTAACGAGCGCGGTGTAATAACTCGCTGAGAACGCCGCGCCGGGACGCCGGCCGTCGCTTTTAACGTTCACCCCTTGGCGCTCTATGGATTTTCTATTAGTTCCAACCTGGGCAGCCGGTTACCTGAAAAACGCTACGCCTACTCGGGCTGCTAGTCAAAGGTAATTTTTCATGATAGATCACGCTCGGCGTGTCGCTCACAACGGCGAAAGGTAAACCTGGTGCGCAGCACAAGATCAAACGTGCCAACAACGTCGCCGGCCCTTGTTGCTCTTGCCGTTGCACTCGTCGGCAGGTAACTATCGATCGTTATCACTGTCGCCTATCGCTAATCGACCATGTTTAAGTTGAAATTTCGTTCAGCCTTTGTGGCGCGATTCGCAGGTGTGCGCCAACATTCAACACTCTTGCCCTTTCGATGTAATCACATCCGAGGGCCTCGAACTCGCTCTTTAGACTTCGTCACTATTGATTCGTGCAAACGAGAAATTTCTCAATCGCCGTTAATTGATAATTCAGCGATGTTATTCTCAATAAAATTTATTCAGTCCTTTGTTTTGCATTTTTTGGTTTCGTTCTGTTCTTTCCAGCGATTTTTGTCAATTATTGGTTTTTTATGCTTGATAATTTATCTCAGACGTCTTAATATAGCAGCGATAAATAGATCAAGCAATGAAAATCAGGGATTATAAAGGATTGTAATGTGTATAATAAAAAAGAGAAATCAATTATTATTACTTACCCGAAGACGCCTACGGCCACAGCGGCTTCGCGCAGCGCTCGTTCTTGGTCCATCTCGACGAGTGCTTCCGGTCTAATAGTGGCAGTGTTCCTCGGTTGACGTTCATTTTGAACAGCTGTGTGATTTCATGTTATTAAAAATATATGGCTATTATCGTATTGAAAACTATATATAAACAAATACTATTTCAGCTCTTAATTATTTTGTACGAAACAAACTGAAACAATCGAGTGATTTATATTTATTTTACATTTATTTATATTTATAAATATTTATTTTTATTTATTTATATTTACAAATAATATATAAAATTAATATTTTCTTATAAATTAATAACTCGAGGAAAAGATGCATTTCAATGCACTTTAATCTCTTGATATTCGCAATCGCATATCATCCATAATAAATTTATAGCAAAGTTGCGATAAGGTTAGGTGTTTTTGATAGCCGATTGGTAAAGCAAGTTTTTACAGGTGCGACGATTGAAAATTTCCTCTTAAATTCACTGATCGATGAATCATCGAGCCGTCATCGGTTATCGCAAGTTTTTGCGATAAGTCACGATACGATATGTACATATCAATTATATTCATAAATAGTACAATTACATTTTCCGTCATAAATTTTTTTCACGAATATCAATTTTTTTGTTAATAACTGTTTGCGCAACAACGTTTCTGCCGCAACTGCGATATAAAGTGAGAAGTGTATCCTCTATGTACATCAACCATTACGCAACAAAAGTGGAAGAAAGCGGTGAATAAAACCAGCGTGATATTAGTAAAACTCATATTTTGTTAAAAACCAAATGGTTTTTCCGACTGATTGGTAACGAGAAAAATCAGAGCGTTCGACTGCGATATATATTTATCGCGTCGCGCGGATATTTTTTTTTTGTGCAGAAAAACGGCGATCTCGAATGAGAGGATATTGAAAACGGCGGCGTAGTTGGCGAACAATGGAAGTATTGTGCCGCTCGTCGATGCCGTCGAATTCGCGGATGATTGAGATATTATTGAAATATTAGTCGACCGGATTCACGAGGGAACGGCGACGCGGTTGTCTGCCGCCCTCTCGTCAAGCTCATGTAACGCCACGTTATGTCATGCCGGCGGTCTGTGTCTGACACGCGTGAATTTAACGGGCACTCCAGCGACGCTTATTGTTTGCAGTACGCATGCAGCGTACGACCACCCGAGGGTTAGCTTTACTGACCATCAATGTGAAAGGATTCTGTGAAAAAGACCTTGATAATGATAATAGTAACGATTGTGACATTTATATTGCATTAGAATAATCAACTGCGTCGTTTTCGAAATGAGCAAGCGTGTAATACTCTTCGGATCTCTTTTCACTGTCCACGCAGAAAGATCGCAAAATTAATTATTAAAATTTTTTTTATTTGATTTAATTAAAAAAATGTACCCTTTTTGCTCACACAATATGCATATCCCTGGGTAAAAAGAGTGTCATGAAATAGGGGATACTTCGTATACCACTTTTTTTTTTTTTAATATCCCGTAAATATCTCGTAGAAATAAACGATCGGGACCGCAAGGGTTGACGCGAACGCGAACGTCGTTTTTATGCACGCGAGCCAATCAAGCGCATTTGCGAACTCACGCTCGTGCGGTTCGCCGCGGCGCGACGGCGCTCGTTCTCTTCGTCGTCGTAAACACTGCGGTCGTTAGCGACGGTCGCGTGGCCCCCGACGAAACCCGAAGGGTTAATTGGAGGAAATAAACGTATGCAACGTACGGGCGACCGCCCGATGCGCACGCGGAGGTTCGTCTACGAACCCTTTAGCCGTCTCCCCTTCGTCCCCTTTCGCGACTTCGCCGCCGGAGACGGCCAGAAAGGACGAAGGACGAGCAGGATGAGTGCTCGGAAGGGTGCTCTCCTGCGGAGCGACCGCGATGCAAATGAGAGAGACAGTCTGTGGGGCGTTCACGTATCCTGGTGCGAGAATTCGCGCGAGAAATGCTACAAGGGCGGATACTGAAGGATAACAATGGAAACCATATTCACAGACATGAATGAGACTCCACGCTTTTAAGGGCTGTTAGCGACAATCAACTAATCCTAGTATTGAGAAAGAAAGAAATGGTTTTATGCTGAAGTGTATTAATTATTGAGAAAACGAAGGTTTTTTTAAGTGTTCTTACAAGGCAAAATTGTGAAGAAGATTTCATTGTTCATTCAAGCTAAGGATCAAGTAAAACCAGTGGTAAAAAGTCCTGCACGTATCGGTGACCAAACGGGGCCCCGCTCGTCAGTTAAACGGACGAAGAAAAAGTCGAGGAAAGGGGAGACAAAAAGCGGGACAGCCTCTCGCAGCGAGGTGCATGCAAATTAAACGGAAACAACGGGGGCGTTTATCTCTTCTGGTGTGCGAGACACGCGAGGACGCAACGCGGAGCGAGAAGGAGACGGGGAGAGAAGAAACGGAGGTCCGACGAAGCAAGAGGACCCCATTAAGCCGCCCAGCAGGCCGCACGCCGGAGGTAAAGCGAGCCGACACGCTTTTTATTATTACGAAATTACTGCGCGCCCGTGCCGGGCCGCTGCTAAAAGGGTAGCCGGGAAAAATTGCGCGCCGGCGACAATGAGTGCCCTAATCGCGCGTCCATTAAAAGCGCGGCGGACACCACGAGTCTCCTTTCGGCGCTTGTGACACGAGGACGTGTCTTCCACGTGCAGCTCGTCGTAATTATTCTAGTCACCTTCCTCGCTAAATTCGAGAAGCAATGTGCAAACCTCCGAAGAACTGCAAGAATTTAACTGTCTACTGATTTTGGATTTCTGGCGGCTCTTGGCGGTTTCTCAGCGCAAGATTGATACACAATTATATCTTTCTTAATTATTTTATCTGGAAAATATTTATTAGAACGTAATTCTGTACATTTGTGAGCGGTAAAAAAGAAATTAAGTTACATAAAGCTACAGGGTCATCGATTTTTCTTGATATTTAAATTAAAATGTATTTATTAAAAAATACTAAACTGACTGTCAATCAACATCAGTCATTTTTACGTTTAAATCGCTATTGAAATATTCTATCAATTGTTTATCACGTTTTCTGATTAATAATATTGTTAGATAAAATCTAATTTTAATTCTTTTCTCATCAAGCATCAAAAGAGAAGTTGATCGATCAATCGATCAGAATGACATCGTAGCTATCGTTCCGCGTCGATCAGCGTCGCCGAAGGTATTGGGATCCCATCGCGAGTTCCGAAGGCATTGTCGCCGAATTGGAGTTATGGATCTGGCGGATTATCCGTTTTCGTGGGTACGGCCGTAATGCCGGAATCAATCAACGGCGGGGAAGTGGAATTCGGGCGGAGGGCCCTTTATGTTCGCGACATAAATAACTGGATAAAGGCGGGACGAGCTTGTACGAGCGGAAGTCTGGCTGTTCCGAACAGCCTCCGATTCAACTCTTAATGCCTCCCGGCGAGACACGGACGCGCACCTGTCTCTCCGTCTTCCTCTTGTTCTTCCTCCCCTCGCGCCCTCCCTGCGGCACTCAGCGCCGTCCCGCTGATAACTTTCTTATTGCCGAACTCGATGTCGCAGGGGAAGAGCCTTCCGATTGAATCGAATCGCGCACAACAACGCGCCAACGGGCGATTTTTATCCGTAAAACGGCGCACGTCAATGTACGAAATTTATTACGCACTACGGATTTTTTATGACGGAATCTTAACTCTTATTTCTCAATAGTGATGTTATATCGTATATATATATTGTATTGAGTAGAAAAATTGGCTTTTTCATAATTATAATTTAGTACCATTTTTTCTTATTATTTCCTTTCATTAATGAATGTTGGAAGTTTGACTTATCATAATACCTTATTGTATGCATCATATTTCTATCACTTAATTTATATAATTATTTTCTTTGAATTGTCCAGTTTTAAGTTTAAATTTGTAGTAGTAATATACACATTCTATCACTTACCATCTTTATTCATCCCCATTTGCATGCATTTTTTCAAACGGCAAGCCTGGCATTGATTTCGATGCGCTTTGTCCACGACACATCTTCCCGTACCAGCTTGACATCTGCACAGGAAATTTATTATTTATTTATTTTAAACATATTATACAATATATAAAGTAATTTTTATTTTAAGGATATTCTTTTGAATATTTGAAATCTTCTATTTCATATGTCAAAATTTATTTTTGTAGAAAATACGTTGGTATCCTTATTTTATTTTGTAAAAAAATATATTAGTATGTTTTCACCTTTTTCTCTTTTATCACTTTATTATATTGCAACGAATAAAAATGTGAATTAATATATTTTATTTTAAGGTAAACGAGAAAGTTGATTAATGTTAGGGAGACAATGTCACTTGGCAAGGTACATTGTGCAAAAATTCCACACTTTTATTGGAACCATAGTGATTTTTATATCCATGTTGTATAATAAAAGACGGAAAATAGGACGCCTTTAAGGCCGGGCAACGAAGTGACGGGAACGCTGTCGCTGGATTGGACGAGATTAAGAGGGATAAGAAGAAGGTACGTGACCCCGAACGGTCGCCTCTTTACGTTAGTCAGCTCGGAGGGATAACCGGGTTAGCCCAACAATGAAAGTAATCGAATTTAACACCATCTCCCGAAGTGCGCACCCCGGATTTCCGACAAGTGCGTCTGAATTTCGCCGACTTTCCGCGAGGGACAAGTGCTACAGAGTTAGGACGATCGTTGATGAAATGTCGTTGTCAAGAATCGATCGATTTGGCAAAGCGTGTGCTAATGAATTCGCCTGCTGTCGCGAAAAAAAAATTACTAGTCGGTTAAAACTGGAATTTAAGCAACGGAACAGAAGGATTCCATAAAAGTTTCCGAGACATGTCATTGTTATACAACTTTTATCTTTCGGAAGTTGAAATAAGTGTAATGTGATACATTTATACTCGAAGGGACAAATCATTCGGAACGTATATTCTCACTTTTACGCCTTTTAATAATAATAATGATAAAGCTCTATTTTGCATGAATTATTTATAATGCCTTCAGGTGCATTACGCCGTTTAACACGTGTCATTTATCTTTTAGCATTCATAACATCATGTTACATCAGAAAGATCGTTTAATAGAGGCTTGTCGGTTAAAGGGTTACAGGCGAGCCCTTGCCGCTTCGCCGGCGACGTCAGCAATAAACAACATACATCCAGCGCATCCAACCTGCATCCGACAACGCGAAGTAGGGCGATCGACGGGCGTGATAACCGGCAGCACATGCTTCCGGTAATTCAATGAGGCGAACAATGCCGGCCGCTCGTAGAACAGAGAGATGCGTAAATAAATGTATGATGTGGTTCTGAAGGGTGAATGCAGGAGGGAGTCCGGGGGGGACGAGAGGGGGGACTCCGGGCTGGGTTCGCGCCCTGCGGATCCGCTGGGGTGTGAACGCAAATCAATTTGCGCGACGGACCCCCCGCCGGCACGACGGCAGCACGCCGAGGGACCCGTTAGGTCGCCGGGCCCTTCGTGTTATACCGCCTCGGGACAAGATAGCGCACGGATCCTTGTGACTGACGTTTGTTAAAATTGTGCTAACAGCGGTCCGCCGCCGGCAGAAAATCTCGGAAGCTCTTCATATTAATCGGCACATACGCGTGTAAACATATTTCACGGAGAGGATAATCATGACAAGTGATGACAAATGCGATTGATTCGGCGGGACTCGCGTGTTGTTCGGTCATTGCGAGGAATCGTAAAGTCCACAATTAATTCTTAAAGCTAAAATTGAATCTAAAATTAATTTATTTATCTAAAATTAGGTTTTGAATAAATATAGAATTCTAGTCTTTTATGTAAAATATATATTGCAAGATACATATGAGATATAAATACTGAAATATTAATTCTTTGCGGTTCTAAATAAACTCGATGTAGTGCATTATACTGAGAAATTATGTTTTTTTAATCTTCAAAAAATTTTTTAAATAAAAAAATTGATTATCTTATTTATCTTGAACTAAGAGTGTTAAAATAAGGACACACACACACAAATATTGAATATTGTTTAATTAATTTGAACTACGAAGGGTTTGAATATAGAGAAATTTTGAGAAATATGTTTATGTGTTTTCAATAATTTACTTATGTTTCTAATACTTTTTCGAGAGTTTAAAGACGCATATTTTGTAAGTGAAATATTTCTTAGAGAATTATAATACATTCAAATATTATAAAACTCCTAAATTAATTACTTTTGATATATATATATTGCATATTGCAAATTGCAGAATCATAGAACATAAAATTCCGAGTTTCTTTAAATGTTTGCTACATGACAAGACGCAGCACGCGAGTATCGACAATTTGTACTGGCGGGCGACATTTAATTTTATCGTTTGTGAAAATAGAACGACGAGCAAGAACGAAACCGTTTCACTTCCGTCGGACAGCTATAACGCGGTAAAGACTGAAGAGCCTCCGCACAGATAACCAATTACCCGCGGAGGGGAACGAGATGCGACAGATGCGTCCCGACGCGATGCGCCACGGCGGCGCGCCGTCCACAATCGCCGGATTAGCGCAAATCCTCACGGATCGGTTAGATGCAATTAAGTGCATCGTGCGTGGATAAGAAGGGCCAGAATGTTCGCACGAGCTCCCGCGAGGCTCGCACTTGAACTCTGCACGCAAATGTCGCTGCTCGAACAACAAAGGCCGCATCTTCCTTTCATCTCTACTGTCATGTAAAACTTTTGGAGAATCATGCGTCAAAATGATATTTGTTTTTTCTATTAGGTTTTCCTGATTTTTTCTATGTAGACTCAGTTGTAAATGCACTGACTTCTCATGTCCCTGAAGCCAAACGTTGAATTAATTATTTTGTTTCATTATCGAGAGCACGCCTGCGTTTTATTATTTTTTACAAATTTTTTCAGCCAATGCGGTTCAATTATAATGATGCATTCTTCTCCGAAGACTCGTTGAAAAATAATAAACACGAAAATTATAACGCAGATTATACATTTTGCGTGCGTATAAAGCGGGACTTGATTCGGCGTTTTCGTTAACAAACAATTGATAAAGAAAACATTTCGACACGCACGTATAAATACAGATCTGAGTCGAATAAATAAATATTCGCTTTTTCCCTTCTTTTGCGAAAATAAAGAATGTTCGGATCTTCAATGTTAAAGCAAATACGTCGGCGATTGCAATGTCGCATAAGCAACGTTGTATAAGCAAAAACAAACGCAAATCTTTATCGCAATAAAATAACCTGACATGACGAGCACATTTTAACGCAATATTATATATCATATATTGCGTAGAAAAATTAATATTTTTATCTCACAGAATCTGCAATTGGAAAAGAAAGCGTGACTTATTTTGAATATCAACAGAATTTTCCAACATATCTAAAAAATTTTAATATCTATGCAATTTCGCGCACCATCCGATTGATATTATTGTTTTCTATATCTTTACAATAGCTTCGTAAAATTTCGATATTAAAGGCCATAGCTGGTTGTATCGTTCAGGGTTAATATCTAGTTAAGCATCGTGCGGAGCCATGTGGGCCAAGTCGAGTGGGCTCATCCTAATTCCGGGCCACAGCGCGGGGTGGCATAATGTCGAATCCGCCGGGGGCCCATCGAGAGCTAACCCGAGAGCTGCCGCCGCTGCACCGGTTATACCCGGGTATCCGAGCCGGTGGCAAAGCCGATGTGGCGCTCGTTCGAGGAACTATTACCGTCCCCCGGGAACGGCCATCCATCTCCATCGGATCCCTCTCGCGTGCAAGCCGGAATCGCCGTCCCGTCCCGCCGCTCTTGTCCCGCTCGATCCGCGCTCGCGGACACGCACGCAGGCGCGCGCGCGCGTAGGGAGCACTCGATATACGCAAACTATTAACCCGCCGTGTGCGAAAGCCGTGCTCTTTGAAAAATGAACACGGCGAGCGTGACCGAAATGCAAAGCGTCGGTCGAGTCCGACCGATCCCTCGAAAAGTCGACTGATGCGCGGCGTTACAATTCTTTCCCCGTCGCGGATTGAGTTGCCGGACTGTTAACGAGTGCGTCGATGAACTGTCGCGCGTGAAGGACATTTGATCGTGACGAATATATTGTTATGCGTTCGCGGCGCACGGCGCGCCTTGCGATGTTGTTCTTGCATCGCATAATTTCAAATCGCACACGCGTAAAATCATGTATCTTTCGATTTTGATTAATTAAAGTCACAGCCAGGTAAGACAACTGCATCTTCATGTGCACTTATCGCGCGACGTGCGAACTAGAATTAAGGAGTTACGGTATTGTTAGATGAATAATGATTAACAGTAATCATATTCTCCGCGGAGACGCAACGATAATGACGTAGACGAACTAGACAAACTAGACATTGTCGCCTAGTTATTAAGTCGTGCTTATTTAATGCGTCTACACGCCGGAAGCTATAATTCCACTCGCTTGTACATGCCACTCTATCGCGCTTAATTTCAAACCGAAATCTTTAAGAGTTTTGATAAGACGTAAATTATGCTTAATAATTTATTTTCCTGCACTTTTAATTGCTATAAATCTATGATGACACTCGCTAGTTATCAGAGTCAGCTTTCACTCACCTGTAAATCAGCTTTCGTCTGACGCTTCTTTTGAAGAAGCCGCTGCAACCGTTGCAGGCTAATATTCCGTAATGTTTGCCGGAGCTGGTGTCGCCGCAGACCACGCATATCAGTCCGAGGCTACGCGGTGGCTTGCTGCCGTGTTGCGGCTGCTGCGGCTGCTGTTGCTGCTGCTGCTGCTGCTGATGTTGCACTTGGCTCAATAAGTGCGGATGGCCATTTCCGAGAGCGGTCAGATATGGCGACCTGGCCAGGGGAAAGTCCGTCGGCATCCCTCTGCAGAGGGGCACCGGGCATTCCTGAACCGAGCGGGAGGCGTAAGGATCGTGACTGGATGTGGATCCTGTCGCCCCCAGAGGGCTGTAACGCTCTGGCAGACCTGGGGAAATAACGCTGCTCTCGCCGGAGTCTGGAACACACATTTATTTCGTCATTAAATTTAACGAAAAGATTATAACACTACGGCAATTATTATAATTTTGCTATTTAAAATTATCTTTTAATTTGATCTTTAGGAAGAAAATGATTTCGTTTCTAATGTTCCACACAGTTCGAAAAAAAAAATCAAGATAGACACTACAGTATTATTATTTGATCATTTTTGTGATATTAATTTATCAGTTGATTCATTAGTATAATATAAAATTATTATAAATACAAATGCAAAGCTTTATATTGAAGTTTTTAAGTAAATTACAGCCTGTTTGAATATGGATAACGAGCCAGGTGTCAAAAAGACGTTGAACTCAAAAAGTAAGTTAATTAAACACATTTTATCGGTGCACGACCTGCGCCGATAAAAGGCCCAAAATAAACGGAGAGTCGTAAGTTAACGTATGCCGTTTTGATACAGGTGTCGAAATTTTCTGGGTGAACGAACTTCCGAAAGGAAAAAAAAAAAAACACACCGAGAGAATTCGCGCAATTGCGAATTCTCTTGGTGTGATTTTTTTTCCTTTCGAAAGTTGTAATCCAATGCTGGATTTAAATTTCCTCATGTTCGACTAAAACATCGAATGATTTCGTACTTTAAATATATTCATGGAAATATTTGCATGCAAAATGTAGATATAAAATGAGGCTGAAATCGTTGATAATATTAGTTTGACCCTTGCGTGACTTAATTGAAAATATCGTTTAATTGTTAAATTACTACCTCGCGTCTATCTGTGATTATTAATTATAATTTTAATTATAACGAGCTTCAATTTAGCTGAATTATACTTATGACATTTACATATTTCTATTAATTTAATCCTGCATTTTCATTAGAGAGATAGAGGAAACCATTTTTAACATCAAAATTTTATTTATAATTTTACATAATGTGTAAGTTAATTTATATATTATATTGCATAAATATTTCAAAAACAAAAGTAAAAGACCTAATTCTTTGCAGATCGCGTGAGGAAATCAAATCACTTCTCTCTCCAACAAATATATTATATCTAGCTATAGCGATTCATTATTTTTTTTCTATCGCAGCACCGCGTTACGGTGATCGAACAGTGCGATGAAAGATCCGAGATTTATGATCGAAGTATTATTTTTCCGCGATCAATACGCCAGCGTTTCCATTCGATCAGCTGGCCGTTACTTTCGGCTTAATCCCAGAAATCTCTTTCGCGCGTCTGTGCGATCAACCCTAATCGGGGCAGCTCCAAGAACCCCCGCCATTTCTGATTGATTTCGAAATAGGGGTGCTCGAATACCGCGATTGCATATAAAATAATTGCGCGTTCGCTTAACGCTCGATCGTTATGGACCGCCACGAAGATCACGCGATCCACTTTGTTGCCATTCGCATTCAATTGGCGATCGATATCTCGAACTGGCAATCGAAATCCTCTCATAACCCTCGACGAAAGCGATTCTAAAGGATTCGCTTGCCCCTTGCGAATAACGAGTTACCCTCGTGTTATGTAATAGCGATCAGATTTAATAGCAACAGTTTGTACTTTGGAATCATTACTCAAGTGATACATTTTTATGATATTTTTAAAATATTAAATATTTAGGATATATATTGGCGTACAGCACACACAAATCTTTTCTGTTTATTTTTAAATTATTGCATTCTTAAAGCACGTATAATTTTATTTGATTAATTAATAATTAAAACTGGTTCTAGAAAGGAGATTATTGTGTGTAAAAGTACTTTGAATCAATATTTATTGATTCGACAACATTTATTGATTATTGATGAGTAAAATTAAAAAAAAGATAGGAAGTACTATTGAAATCTATTGTACTTTTTTTATTAAAGACGCGTGATTTCTAATGGTCTTTAATTCGACATTGTTCCGTTATCAATACATTATATGGTAATTCTGGAACGGATCTTATCTGACCCCGCATTAACGAGACCAGAACGAGTTTTCAATCGAGTTCGGGGGACAAATACGATGCGAGCGAGATCTCGTGCTTCGCTGAAAATACCGGTGTGACTAATAAAGTCGAACCGAGCAGAGAAGCGAAATCCCATTTTGTTGATCACGCAGATGTTCATCGCCATGGTGTGTGCGATCTTTTCGCCTAAATCTGTTTACGTTGACATTCTACTGCACTTCAAATACTAGAAAATTTCCCATTTATCGAAATATTTAGAATCAATCTCGTCAAGTTGCAACAATATTTTTTCAAGAATAGAAATTAAGAACATATATATTAAAAATTTTAATTATATGTTAATTAAATTTATAATTTATATATCCGTTTGCACTATAAAAATAGATTTTACGTGAAGAATGCTGCAATTTTGAAAGACTGTCTTTCGAAAATATTAAAACAATTTTACAAAAATTAACAATTATTATACAATGCATGCTACGCGTGTTATGACTTTATTCGGCATAAATATTTATATTCGAGCGTTCTTACTTCCTGAGCTTTTTCCAAACTCATTTCTCGATGTAAATACTGTTTGTTCCCGCGATCCACCCGGTAAGCCTTCGGGGACAAAAGAGAAGGATTCCCGAGGGGTGCCAGAAGCTATCGAGCAGTAACTTTGTCATCAGAAAAAAAGATAACCCCGCCAACGTCAAAATTTCTTCTCTTCAACGTGGTCTTCCGAAAGTCTGAGTTTTATCACTAGCTCGGAAAGCACTCGTTACACTTGGATAATCCGATTGTCGAATCGCATCCTCCGATCGTTATCAAATCACGTCAAAATAGGAGACGGCGTCAATCTTGTTATTAATTCAACTCGCGTGACTTTGTGTAAGCGTACGGGCTTTTCGATCTTGTTAACGTACACCCCCCCAAATCCTGTCGATTACTAGCAGTGTATATTCCGGCGCGCTGATTCAATCTTCAAAACAATGAAGGAATTATCCGATGGTAACGCCGATACGATCTCGAAAGCAGATTATGAGATATGTATCAATGACGCAACTCATATATTATATAATCGTAAAGCTATCATATTCCATTTTCAGATTAGTTTTGCGTAAATCTGTCGAAAACGATGTTTAAGAACACGTGTATATATATATATATATATATATACATATATACGCGCTCGCAAATTACAGCATTAGGATAATCAAATCTTGTCGTGGTGCAATCTGTCGGCCGCGCGCAGGGTTAAACGGGAGGAGAAAAATGACGGTCCGATATAAAATACACACCCGCTATAAGCCACCCGCGCCGAGAGTAACGCGCGCAAAAGCAGGGGCGTCAAATTTCATTAGCATATCAATGCTGGCGGATGGCAAGGCGCCACCTGCGCCCTCGTATTATGGGATCATTGGGAAAAGTGAGAGGGGGATTCTTACGAGTGGGGCCAGGGGTTGCGCTAGTTGGAGAGATCAAAAAAAGAGATTCTTTTCCCTACCCCTCGATGTCTCTTTGCTAATTTCGGCTAACTGTTAGCACATTAAATGCGGCGATGGACCAAAAAGATCGCACTTTGCATTTTTACGTTTTTACCAAAAAAAAAACCTACTAAATTGAAGACAATACTCTAAAAATGTAAATAATGTAAAAATGTAAAATAATAAATGTAATAATGTAAATAATAATGTCAACCGTATAGTTATAGAATTCAAATAAAGGTCTGACTTGTAAAAGAATTTCAAAATAAATTCAAAACTCAACTCTCAAAAAAATACTTGTTTACTTCTACTCTTCTAAAGAATACTTATTTACTTCACAAAAGCACCAAGCCAGGAAAACAGATATCTCGCATCAAGGTTTAATGATAGCAAAACAATGCTAACTGGAATAGTAATATTTAACATGAACGAAAATGGTATTAAACACAGCTGCTTTTCGGATATTTGTTTTAAGTGGATGCAGGTTGATGTCACAGCTAAATGAGATGCAATGAGCTAATTGTACGAGGGACAAAACAGCAGAAGCTTTACACACTTTGTTCAAGTTCATAATAACGGCCAAAGTTTTAAGTCACAATATGGAAATTGATAAATAAAAATTTAACGATAACTGAGAAAGCATGTGTCATCGAACAGAATTCAGCACATACAAGTCGATATACATACAAGATAAACAAGACTGGATAAACATTCACGATTCGATATTGCTGACGGGACCGATAAGACATTAAACTATCCGTAATCGTTTAAAATTATTGAACGGTGAAATTATTATTAAATATTATTAAGATGCACATTTTTAACATTACAAAAATTTTTTACAACTTGTCAAATCAAATTTTACACAGCCAAAATTTACAAATACATTTTCCAACTTTGCTTGGCAATTTTTTAATTATAAACGATTGAGAATAAAAGACTTTCTGCAATTAAACTTCAAGAATGCAAATAAACAAGAAGACATTTCAAATGTAATCTTTTATCTTCTCAGAATTTTAATTTAAAATTTAACTAATAAAATATTCAATGTTAGAAATACATTCTAAATTAATAAAAGAATTGTACTTGCAAATTTTTTGGCCGATTAATTTAGTAATAATTTATACGTAATAAATTAGAAAACGTAATAATCAATAGCACAATTTTTGAAGAAAGAATTATTGAAAAGTGCAAAGGTTCTTCCCGCGTTCCGTCCGTCGCTGAGAGCGGACGATGCAATGCGACGGACAGACGTATGCAAATCTCCGCGACTTTTATACGAGTTACAGACGTGGGGTAGGATAAGTGGGAAAAGAGGGTGGCACGTAGGCGACGACATTATGCCATTAGAATAATCAAATTTTGGCTGACCCGGAGCGTAGGAAGAGAAATTGCACGTTGATGCAAGTTTATGCATTACATTACGCATTACATTATGACGTGAGAAAAATGTCGCGAATACGAACGTTAGTTTCTAAGCATTGCCATTAATCTGCAAATTCCATCTAGCAAAAGATAAGATTTTAAAATCTTCCACATATTGCTGATTTTTTTTCTACAGATATCGTTTCTTTAGCATGTAATTTTTCAGATAATATGATAAATTATCCAAAATATAAAACTATTTATAGATATATTATCAAATATACATACATATTAACAATAAAAATCTCGCGCATGATTAAATGAAACTTTTCAATTAAACTCTTCCAATTTTCATGCACAACACAGCAGTCCCGAAGACACTTAAGAAATGACTAAAGACGGACATTAGATTTTCAAACATTTATGAAATCTTTTTTTTAAATTTATAGCTATTTTTTTTTATTTAACTTACCGTGTCTAACGCTCAGCGGACTGGCGGGGCTCCGTGGATGCTCCGAAGTGGTTTCATTCTGCGCCTGTTGATGCTGATGCTGATGATCTTCGGTGGCCGTGACCGTCGCTGCTCCGTTCATCGTGTCTCCTCGATCATTCGTTATCAAGCCGTCGTGCGTGCTAAAAACGGTACATACCTCTTTAGACTTCACTGCTTCTTTTATGCAAAATTCACACCTGATTTATCGATTTCGACTGATCCAATACAAGCATGCATACAAATGCAATAATTTAATCATCTTTCATTTGTAAAATTCGTCATGTGGAAAATATGCCGGTTTAATGTGCTTGTCATCGCGGTATGAAATAGATTTGCAATTTTAGCTTATCTAAAAATAAAGGCTGGCTTCCTAAAATAACTCGAACAGAAAAAATCGTTGCACCACATTATGTGTATTTATATTTGTAATCTAGAAAATTTTTATTCCGATAATTCACACATAGAGATTTTTAATTGAATTTAATCAGTTAGACAAAAGGTGACTTTAAATAATTGTTGTAACAATTAAAAGGTAATCTTCTTTAATCTTTTTTAACAAGTCTGCCATTTTTGGCAAACAGCTTTTAAATTTTCTTCTTTGAGTGACAATTAGCTTGTTCTTGATCAAAGAACGCATCTTTCAAAGCAAACTAGAGTGCACATCATGCTCACCTTTTTTTTTTTTAATTGAAGATTATCGTAAACTCACCTAAGATAACTCCAGATTCCAACGTACCCGCACTGTGGCACGTAGGTCACTTCCTTTGCGATCACTGACTTCTCCACCCTTTTCAATCTACGATCACCAAATTTTCGAAATGTCCGTTTGATTTACGATCACTTGATTCTCCAACTTAGTCGGTTCTGCTGATCACCACCGATATCGGCAACCGCAACGCGAAAGTTACTTCTGCAACCCCGAAGAAATCTAAAGTCACGAGCCAGACAAGCGCGATTAAAATGCGAAGTAAAATGTTGGCTGCTGCAAAAGTTTGCAGGAGAGATCGGGCGAACACGCGTTATCGAGATTGATGCGTTCCGCTTTGGAGATCGGCGCGTAGGCGAAACGATCGTTCGTCGATGTCGGATTGGCGTATGACGTCTGCGGCGTCCCGATCCGGGATCTCGGCGGCGAGTCGCCGTTACCCGCGGATGACGTCGGCGTCGTCGTCGCCGCCGTCGCCGTCGTCGTCGTCGTGGCGGTTGCCGTGCCGTCGGAGGCAGCGGGCGAGCAACGCCCGGCGCCGATTGGTCCGCCGGCACTTTTGAAGGCGGGATCAGGAGGCAACGCCGGAAAAACGACAAAAACGAGGAGCGGGAGGATTTAACCTATAGCTTCCACGTTTGACGCGGCGCCTCGCCGCGACGCCCGTCGTCACGACGACGCGCCTGCGCCGACCCCTCCGACCCTCTCCGATGACGCCTGGTATCTCCCACCCCGGGCGACCCGGAGCGAACTACCCCTACCGAAGCGAGACGCTGTCACAGGAAACGGCGCCTACCTGAGCGTCGTGCAATTGTTGATCGTTGGCTACGCGACGGCGAAGCTCTCTTTGCTTTGGCATCGGTTCGCCTGGATAAAAAGTAACGATGCGTTAAACAGCAAGCACCTTTTGATCCGTCGTGAATTAATCGAAGGGGGGTAATTGAATGGAGACACAAGGATTCACAATAGGGCGTAATAATTACGATTCTATCGAAATTGTTTCTATTCTCAGCTTGGACCCGCGTGAATTTTGTGAAAAAGAAGTTTACGTATTTTCACCTAATACATAGCAAGTTCAACTTACTGATAGACAAAATGAGTATCACAGCGGCAATTTACAAATTGCATTTGTAACAAATGTAATCTAATTCACATAGAAAAAAACATAGATATATGCCAATAAGTTTTATTTGTTTACGTGGTATTGTTTACAGTATGAGTTTATATTTTTTAAATAGGAGTATATTCTAAGCTTTCCGCGGAGCAAAAATTTTAACCAACAGAATTTTCTTCGTCATCGCTATTGAAGAGTCAAGGTTCAAAAGGAGCCGCTAGCGGAGCGATTAATGGACCGATCGAACTTTCGACTTCTGAAGTGTTCTCCCGGACAAATCGAGCGGGATCCACGAGAGTGGATGTGAGCAATCGGTAACAACCGATGCCTCGCGACGCCGGGCGTCGTTGTGGTTGTGGTGGGCGAGGACCCCGGCGGCATCTAGGGGTTGCCGGGTCGCCGCCATGCTGGATTCCTGGCGTCGCATGAGCCCTGGTTGCCTTCTGGTAATCGTTGCCAGGGATGCGACGACCCCACCAGACCGACGTCGCCACGCCCCGCGGATCGCGGACGAACCAATGACGCCGGGACGTCGCGACGCCGGCGTCCACCAATAGGATTACCCTCTGATACGGTCTTTCGCTTGTCGGTGACTGCTGCACACCCGCTCCCCCCAATCCCCGATCCCCTCGTCAGGCTGGATGCCTTTCAATTTCGGGCCCGCGGCCTCATAAACGCAGCCAACCACCCATCCACCCGCGCCGCAGGGTTGGATCGGGGGTGGAAGGGGGTACAAACACAGCCGAGTTACTTGCCGTCGGTGTGTCAGTGTGCGTGGGCACGCAGACAACCCGGGGTACAAAGCCGCGTGGAAAGTCGGGGATGAGAAGCGGAGAAGGGGTGTGTATGTGCGCTCTCGTGGTGGTACATGGGAATGCACGTTGTGGGACGGCAGGGTGGCTCAAGATGCATGTGTGGGTGTGTGTATGTGCGAAGATGGGAATGGTACAGTGACGGTGATCAATCATTCGAATGCGTTGTAAAGAAAACGGTTACATTATATAAAGTTATGTGTTTACGATAAAGTTATACTTAAAATTACATATTCCACGCCCCTTCGTGCCGCATCTTTCAAAGCTACTTTATAAGAATAACGTGATTGTTATAAAATATAATTACAATAATTATTTTATAAAAATTTTATCGAAAAAGTGATATCGCGGTGCAAATATCTCAAACAAGCGTAATTGTTATTGTAAATAATAAAATTTAATTTTTAATTTTATAAAGTTATAATTTTAAATTTTTGTCCAATTTCATAAATGTTTCCTCTTAATATATTTTATAAAGCACTAATTTCAAATAATAACATTGATATCATCAGAGAAATACACATTATTCTGCTGTTTTTAGTACAAATATAATTATTTTTCTATTATTGCAATACAAATATGCACCTAATAGAAATTATTTTAATATAACGTTTTTATTTTTTACAATAAAATATGTTATTTATATTAAATTTAAATCGTTTTGATTATAATGCTTAGCTTAAATTTGTATTCATGCATAAAGTAAAAATTTCAATAAGCACTTGCGATATTTTTAAAGTGAATACAGTAAAGACTTTGTGTTATTCTTGCCTAAGGATTAAAGTTTTCGAGGATATGATTACGATCAATTTCTTAGAAAACCGAGTATTTGCGAGACATCCATCAAACTCTCGTTCGCCTCGTTTAATGCCACGCTAGAAAGTAGAACGAGCAGCGGAGAGGAAGTTGCTCTTCCTCCCTCGATGAATACCTCAAAGGGGATATTGCGATCGGTGTACACATCTCAGGCATCACCCCGCAAATTTACACGCTTGTGCTTTCTTAGCGCGTCTTTTGTGCAGCGTTCCTTAGATGAGTGTTATTTTCATGCATATGTGGTAGGAGGCATGTATGTGTTACTCTCCGTGTGAGTTCTCAGAAAAAGAACTTTTTTTTAGCACAGATGCTATAGCGACCTACGTAATGCGAGATTATGTGCCAAGTTATGCTTAATAAAAAAATTATGACCTTCGATATAATAATGATATTTAACGGTGAGGCTTGCACTGTTCATTAATAAGAAAAGATAAAACTGAAGTAATATTTAAAACTGTTATATTTTTATCGTCTTCTCTTAGAATATAAATGCCATCGACACACATAAATACGTTTTTAAAATTGAACGACGAGAAGATATATTGAAGACAGCCGAATTTTATGCTCTTTGATGTTGCGTCCAGAATAAAAAGTAATAAACTGAACATGAACGATAATGCCAAAAATTAACGGAAGTAACAGTAGCTGTTGAAAAGGAATATTACGTGTATTTTTAAAAATAATAAAATAATTATAAATTATTAAAATCTATATTTTATTATGAGATCTAAATATGTTATTAATTGCATCAAAAAAATTTTGTAATAAGAATATAAATTAACAAAGTAAATATATGAAATAATATTTGCCAAAAAAGTATCCTAGATATAATTAGTAAAAATGCGGAAAGCGTACAAAAGTAGTTTAGGTATAGCATAGCAGCGGCGGATAGCATGCTAAATTGATCGTGCGATTTTCGATATTTCTCTGTCGCTTCTGTGTTGTTTGCGATAGTTCTTTCACGAAGTGGATAATTCGTGAGATTTATTCAATTAAAGTAGAAATCGAAGCAATGATATTATTTTATCGTTATGTTTTTCGTGGCAACGAATTGACTGGCACGTAACGATTGTTTTTTATCACGCACAGAGTGCTTTTACATACGCCAAATCACTTTGTTGGCATTCGTCTTTAATCCTTCTTTATAATATAGTAAAGTGAATTTTATCTCTTCTATGGATATACTTTGTAGAGCTTAGTATCTAAAGGGTTTATCCTTAACATATCTAAAATATAGGATCACAAGTCGAAGATGATTCTCATATGTATAATGCGCTGAAAGAGAATATTGAATCCACTGTCTCTAACATTTTTGTCTTTTTCTCTCATTCAGCTCTCTATGACAAGTAGTAATTACACTATTACTTTAGCTTTATTATAATCGCTTCTTAACTATAGTTTATATTTTATTGTTAGGTCGTGTGAGCCAAGAGAAGCGATCACACTTTTATCTTAGCTCCATGAACCGAAAGCGTTCACACTTTTATCTTAGTTTAATGGACATTATGAACGCTCTAATAATATAATCAGAAATATTATTACACAAATTAAATGTTTTTTTTTTAATTTAAATGCATTGACAGCGTTACTGCGAGTTACAAATAGCCTTATGTAACAAGTGCATGTAATGTGTTAAGGAATATTAGATTTATTATTCGCGATATCTTCGTCTAAACAAATAAATAAATGAAAGAGGGTGCGCGATTGTGTAATATTAGAGATATCTTTTAAAATACGAGCGTCATAATTTTACGATAAAATTCACGTTTGGAATATTGTTCAGAATATTACGCGATCGTTGTATATATAAAACTATAATGGAATTCGCGTCGAAATATTATATAAAGTGTCACGCGCGATTGTCGTATTTTCAAGTGTAAAGAACCACCCATCGATTAACATTGATTTTAAGCATAGAAGATTGAAATTGCGAATTGGAAATTCAAATTCGATCAATCAAGTAACTTCAATTTTACTTCTGTTTTAATAGTCTTATACTAACTTTATGTTAATGCCAACGGCACATTATATTCTATTAAAAAAAAGATCAAAATACAGATTATTTTAAATTGTGATAATTTAGATTTTAAAAATCGTTTTTTATTTTTCAAAAATTATTTTAAAAATAAAACTTTAAGCTTTCAAAAATTTTAAACAAAATTAAAACCATTTTTTTACTCCGTGCAATTTTACATAATTTTGCATTTATCAGCAAAAGCATTTAAAACAGAAGCAGTTTTCAAGTTTTGAAATGCATTTCTAAAAATTGTTTTATGACCATTTCTAAGAAAATTATATAAATTTATATTTTGTCATTATTGTTATTAATTATTATATTCCAAGCCCCTGAGGCCCTTTGATAGTTACAAAAGTTCTCAATGGTATTCATCGTATTGATTATTTCGAATGCCTGACACTTTGCTGCATTTATCAAATCATGATAACTTATCTGTAGCGAATAAAAACGAATACGAATATTTGTTACTAACTGTACCAACTTTTGCTTCAATTTTTATATCTAAAAGTTCATAAATTTTTAGAGATAAATTATGTGATATTACATTAATTAATTGCAAATTATAATAAAATAATAAATATAGTTTTTTTGCATTCTCTATTGGTTGTTGTAATATTTATTATAATATAATATATTACAATTTCCATACATATATATATAATGTTTATTTTAATGCGTACAAAACACAGTACAATATTTATATAACGCAAAAGCATGAAATTCTATCAATCATATTATTATATAATTTTACACGATAACTAGCCTCGATTAAGTAGCGCTAATTCAATCTACTTATTATATACGAACAAGCTCTAATTAACTGTTTTTTTTTTTTTTTTTTTTTTATGTAGACGAGCTAGGAAACTTTTTCAAAACGTTATCAATCGCGTAGCAAATGTCCTCGAAAACTTCCGCTTCTTCTTTTTCACCGTCGATAACCACAAGATGTTTTTTATAATATTTAAGAACTGATTTGATCTTTTCTTGATAGTGCTTAATTCGGAGTAATTTATCGTCGATTATGCTCATCTGTCGCTCTGTGGTGGTGACGGTTTTCGCCAGAACCCTGTCTATTAACAGCGAATTTCTGACGAGCAGGTACAGAACGAGGTCCGGTGGACGGATGCGACTGTTGAAGTATTTACATTGCATTTTTTCTCTGGGAAATCCACTTACTAGAAAACCTCGCGTGGTACTTAATTTGCTCAACATTTTTTCCCCAATAAGCTGTACCATGACATCCGGGGGGACATTCTTACCCTCGGACATTAAGTGCGCCAAAATTATGCCTTTTTGTGAACCGGTGGCTACTTCGTGGCGCAATAGCTCTCTGGTTATGATAGTGCAAAAGCCGTAATGTTTTTCTATACGTGTACATTGTGTTGCTGTTGGAAAAAAATTAAATTGTTTTTAAATTTAAAGCAATTGAAACTTTACATATGTATAACCATTTTTTAAAAATGTGATCCAAATTAATAATATATTATCATTATTTTGCACATTTTTATCTTCTAGTAATTATTAATATATTGTTAGATTAGTTATTTAGAATATTTTATTAATTTTTTTAGTGGACTATGATTAAAATTTCCTAAAAAATACTAAAAAAAAAACTAAAAAAAGATATTTTTAATATCTATGAAATTATACATAATTGAAAAAAAAAACAATCTAATTATTACTTATGTATTAATTGATAAATTCGGAATATTTAGTTTTAAAATTGTAAATAAAACCTCAACACATACCTTTTCCTGCTCCAGGACCGCCGATTAAAAAAATGATTGGCACTGTTGATTCCTTAATTGCTGTAACATTGGACTCATTGTTTCTTGGGATCAAAGCACTTAAAGGATCGATAGGTTTTACGCAGTTGCCCATTTTTACTTTTTATATTCTTTTCGTGATATTTATTAACTATAATATTGTGTTATTTTTTTTATAAGCGGTTATATACGAGAAACAAAGTTGTGCATTTTCTATATGACATATTAAGATCTTGAAGTTGAAGCTCTAAATTAACATTGCGAAAGAAACAGTATCGATTTGAAAAATGTCGTGAACATAGGAGTGATATAATATTTTGGAAAATTTATAATAAATAAAAAATGTTTGATGATATCGGCTTTTAATTATACTCGAAAATCTATTATAAACTACAGCATAATTATGAATTTATTCACAACGATTCCTATCGTGGCTAAAGTAATCATCTCTTTTTTCGATTGTTGGTTATTTGCTTCACTCAAGAAAAATATGGTAATCATCCACTTTATTAAATATGTTTGCAAATTTATTAATTCAATAGTATTTACGGTTTTTATAGTAAAATTAAATTAATTCTTTTTTATTTATAATCTACTTTTTCTAAAGAAAAACATTAACCTAAGTTTTATAATAAAATTTACTCAAATTTATTTTTGATGATTCATATTTATGAGTTTTTAATCTTAATATGCGTGGGACAATAATTTATTAGAATAATTTTGATTTCTTTTTTTATCTGTTAGCAATATGTACAATGCCATTAAGCTGGCCCGTAAATTTCTTCCGAACTTTGAAGAGCAAAGATGTAGGACTCTTAATAATATCATCAATAAATCGAATCAGTTCAATGAACGCGACGAACTGAAATATGTTACAAAATGTCGAGTTGCCATCGTTGGCCTCGGTGGAGTCGGCAAATCTTTGGCACATTTATTAAAAACGTATCCAGGGAGTCTTACGGAGCTCCGACTTTGCAATCGAAGCGATCCCGAGGGAATAGTTGAAGAATTGAATCATATACCTACAAAATTGCCTGTTCGAGGATTTAAGGGAATAGATAGATTGTCCTTAGGCTTACAGAACGCCGATGTAGTCGTCGTGACTGCGGGAATTGCCAGGAGGCCAGACATGGAAAGAAGGCATCTTTTTATGGTATATAATAATTGTTTGACTTGTCTTCTACAACACATATGGATTTATTAAGTTAAAATATTAAAATTTATGGCATATAATGATTTGCACATATCTTCTTGTTCAACATATAGGCTCTAAATGTTATTCAAAGTTTATGAAGAAAATTAATTAAGAAACCAATACTAGTTTTTACAGATAAAACTAGGAAGGGACAAAAAGTTGTTTTATCTTTTACGATCACGTGATATAAAGTTTTAATTTATCGAAATGTTGTACAAAATAATTTTATTTTAACACTCAGTGATTTAAAAAAAAATTGAATTAATAGATTCTAAAAATTAAGCTAATTTAAAACGATGCAACCTCCCACGAAGACTTCATATTCGAATATACTTATGCCGTTCACCGTAGGAGAACGCCGCGTTAACAAGAGACATAATCAACATCTGCGCAGACAGGTGTCCTGATGCTCTGATAGCCATAGTGACGAACCCTTTAGACTCGATGGTGCCAGTCGCGGCGGGAGTCCTAAAGACGCGCGGGGTTTATCGGCCTGAAAGGCTCTTCGGCGTCTGTCAGATCGACCAGATGCGGGCGCAACGTTTCTACGCGCAGGTTATTGGTCAAGAACCGAGGAGGACTTACGTTCCTGTCGTGGGTGGCCACGCGGAAAACACCACAGTTCCTTTATTCTCCAAGGCGAGGCCGAACGTTCCCTTAACGGAAGAGGAAACTAAAGCTCTGATCCAGCTTGTCCGGGAAGCTGGGAAAAGAGTCGTTCAAGTAAAATAAGAATTGAGTTCTACGAACGAGTGAAAGTAACGTTTGTTATACAAAAATACGCGTGTTATCGCGCTGTATACAAATATAAAATTTAATATCACACATTCAATATTTTGTGTAATCAAATTGAATTAGTGATCAGATTCGGAATAATATTTTTCAGAAAAATTATTGATCCGGCATTCTATTCAAATCTTTTATGCTGTCTATCTTAGGCAAAGAAGGGAGCGGGCGGGTCTACGTTTTCAATGGCATCGGCGACGCTGTCCTTCGTTCATAATTTGTGCCGCGCCATCCATCACGAGCCACATGTGATCATTTCCGCTTACGTGGAGTCGACGGTAACCAATGCGCGTTTCTTCAGCAACGAGTTGCTGCTCGGGCCACGTGGCGTTCATAGGAATCTCGGATACGGCACGGTCACGACGTTCGAACAAAACCTGATAGACGAGGCGGTGTTAGTGCTTCAGCATGATATTGCGTTGGCCGATGATTTCGTCAAGAAAAACGTCAAGTGACGAAAAATACAAAAATTCCCGTTTTTCTCACTAAACGCGTGGGTAAAAAATTCAATTCTTCACGATTTAATTACAATTGTGCGATTTCAATTATAATTTGTATCATCTTTCTTTATCTGCCTGTAAATATTTTTGCCTGTGATAAAATAATCGTACTTTTAATAATTATAATATACAGTAATTTTTATGCATTTAACTAACTTTTTTTGCAATAAACAAAATAGTGAAATGAATTACTCTGTGCGGTCACGTGTTGGATAACAACTTTCCTTATTACGCGTTATTTCAAATTTTTAATAACTATATTTTTCTTATTTACTTGCGAGTTTATCGATATCAGAATTTGCTCAACATTGGACTTTACGATCTATAAACTCTAAAGTTCGTTATCTCACAACATTATGGCAAATGTTTAGAATTCCGTTATGAATATCGCAATTATCTTCAATTACTGCCGGTTGCACCATGCTTCGTCGGAATTCGAGGAGCATGCGACTAACGGGATAATTGTCTGCTAATCGGGCTTTGGAATAAAAAGCGGACACAGGTATTGCGCTATTGTGACGAAAAGTTGCACAGTTGCTAGAAGGCTTTTGTATTTCACGTCGTAACAATACGCTGTCATTGTAAGATATGGACCGATTCCCAGGTCGCACGGGTAAATTTGCCAAATAACACGGGTCGCGCGATTCATTGAACGATCGTGATCCAATGCAACGGTTACGCGGCTCGGAAGGGCTGATATTATCTTCTGAAACGGAAATTGCGCATTCTGCCGCCCGCGAGAGAGATTCCGCGAACTTGCGGTGACGCAATAACGCAATTTGTTTGTCACCTGGGGCGACGCTCGGCAGGAAAAGAAGGAGAATGTAGAAGTGAAAGCCCTTATATCCTTTCGAAAGATTAGATCAGAAATTGTTATATTGGTTTAGTTCCCAGAATTATATCGCTAATAATTATCAAAGTTTAATTATTATTTGTAGCGATCGTGAAAAAGGCAAGTTAATGCGTCCTTATAATTTGTATTATTAATTTCCTTATTACAAAGTAATTTAAAAAATAATATCGCAACCGTGTATTTTATAAAAAAGTAAACATCGCGAAATTAAGATAGAATATTGCTTTACTACAAGCTATTTGCATATATTACATATAATATTATAGCTATAATACGCTACTTTATGCACTGCTGCTTTCAGTAATCTAATTTCGATAGAATGCAAGATTGTGGAGAAGATGATAATTTCGCTTCATCTAACATTAGCGAATTAGCTTCGGTGTACGCGTTTTATCACCATTCGTTAATTAGCGATCGCGATAATATCGGAGCGTGCAGCATTTTAGGACAACCGCGGAAAGCTGCCACGCACGATTGGCGAGCCCGTTAAAAATGCTTGTTGGAGGGTATTAGCGTCCTTCCAACGTGAACCAGATCGCGACGTAAGATCGCGATTAAATGGCATTTACGGCGGATTAGAAGTGACGCGCGACTCGATCGCTACTTCGTTAAAAGCGCGGAATTACACGTTGGAATTATGCATGTAAATCTGTCCGTGATCGCCGTCTTTAAATATCGGCGTCGGTGGCACCCGACTGCATAATTCACCGAACAAGTTCGCAGTAAGTTCCTGAATCCGAATCTTTATGAGGGAGTTGCGAATTAATAATAGATGCACGTGGAGAAACGGGGAGATTAATTTATGCGGTTACACGAACACGTTTCCCTACCGCATTATTTTAATGTCAGTTATTTCATTTCATTCCGCTCGTGTCGATTGCATTCGATGGTATTGATTTTTAAAAATCATTTTTACTTATTTATATTTCCCGTAAGAGCAAAGTGCTCTTGATAAGGTGCTGAATTTTATTATTTTTTTAACACTCCTTTTATATTAATTAGAGAAAGTAATTTGTCCCGGTTGAATGAAGATCGACAGATATTCAACATTCCCCGAACTTTCGAGTGAGAAATAATCAATAAATTCCTGACTCATGAATTGCCTGATTAAGATAGAATGAAGGGCCTTCTCGGCTTCGTCGATAAAATCATAAGCGCATTTCTCGTGCGAGTGAAATTAGGGAAACAGGTTCGGTAGCGGTATTTAAAAGGCCAGAAGAGGATGGACTAGCGCGATAGCACGCCAATCATACCTGCACCGTCGCATTAGCGATAACGTGAAATTACCACGAGGCATGATTCCCGTGAATCGGGGCCTCAACGCGTGAGCGCCGACTTTATTGAAAGGCAATCGCTGCTCTGGGTCTCTCCGGCGTGGAAAAAGCGTTTCCAAGCGATCGAATCGTGGAAGGGAAACTGGTAGTCCGAAACGGCGATGCTAACATCGCTCGTGCACCGTTCGTGTGGATCGCCATTAGAAATTCCCACGGCGTTTTATCGCTGCATTTCCGCAAAGAAACTTTATGCCACCCGAGACCCTATTCTGCCACAATCAATGATCGGAATGAAGACATATCGCCATCGCGCGAATTGAAGCGCAGCGCGAAAATCCCCGCAATTCGAGATCTCAATTGCGCGCTCTTCGTATCTCGCATTTAATTAATTTATGTGCATAATTTCGCGGCTTATTTTTCAGTCGTTAAAAGCGTACTTTTTCCCTCTTGCAAAACGCTCGTTATTTTACGTACGCACGCCAGTTCAGCGTAATAAATGTATCTTTTTACTAATTTTAATCTGATTTAGTTGAGGCGAGATGACGTTAATTAGCTAGCTTGTTTATTGCACGTTCTGCAATAGGGTTCATTGGAATTTCTGCAATTTAGTATATTGCGCATTAATGATTTTTTTTTTACGCTGTAATTATACTAGATCGTTTGCACCTAGCAAACGTCCTAGCTAACGTGCTAACGTTGGTCTTTAGCGTCGTTCACGTCACTTAATGTATGAACCCTTCGGCTGAGAAAGTCGTAGATATAAACGCAGAGCTAGAACTCTTAGCAATGAGAGCTCTACGCTAATGGCCGGTAGTGTAGTTTTAAGAAATAGTCGGTTAAGATGTCTCGCCGTTGATTTATAACGCTCATTATTTTACGCCGATTTACATTGAAACGAATCCAGACGATATGTCGTAATCGTAATGCGCATTTTACTGTAGAAGGCCATTCAACGCGCCGCACCCAAGGGGTTAATCACTAGTTATAAAATTTTCGCATTTCTGCCGTTAAACGGGTCGTGATAATTGCGTAAAAATTTCGCTCTTCACACCAATTATGTAACAGAGAATGCACGGACGCGCAGATCAGCGCCTAATATTAAACCGTTGCTCATTGCGCGGCAGTGAAAACGGATTTTGCCGATAAGTTGCGCATGTACCAGATGCCAGCGAATGAATTGCGCGCTTATTTCCGCGCCTTAATAAATAACAGTCTCCTCGGGAGTTTCGCAAAAATTGGAGCAACCGCGCGCCGGGCCGACGTGTATTTCTTAAAGTTGCACAATGAGAGCTCGAAGAGACACGGCTGTCTTTGTCGTGATAGACAAACGACGATCGCATTGCTCCGCCTTTATCGCAATTAATGGCGTGAAAGGCGCGATTTTACGCGTGAAACGCGAAATCCGCTGCTTAAAATAACATTTTTCGCAGAATTCAGGCACCGTTGATTCGCTAGCTATCGCGCCGAGTCGATGACAGTTCGCGTTCGCGTTCGCCAAGCGTGTTATTGTTGTGGGCACGTTGTTCAATGCACAAACCATTGATCGTTATCGCCTGAATCGAGCAATTATGACGCAACATTAATGATCCTGATGAATGGTGTCATCAAGTCAATGACACTGCGAGCGGTGCCTGCAAAAAAGCAGGTAGCTATACAAGTCGCGCAATTAGCTCCACTTGCCATACTATAATCACCGTATTACATCGAAACATTGCGTGGCATTTAAATGTGCGAGAGAGGATCTGATAAATATTTAAATCTCGTTAATTGCCATCATTACGCACCGCGATAACTATAATTGAGCAACTTAAACAGAGATACTTCATCATAATCGTTATTGTTGCTAATAAAATTACAGACACTGATTCTTTCTCACGTTACTTCTACGAGAATGTTTTTAATACTTCTCTGCAATACTTTATATGCAGGTATACATAAAAAAATTTCTGTAAACTTTTAACATTTTCAAATATGTTTTCAATACATATTGTTCTGTAAAAATTAGATGTTCGTAAAATATATATATCTTTAACGAGTTCAACACAATTAATCCAATTTAAAATGTCAAAGTCTCTGATTGTAATCTGATTGCAAGAATCTTCTATTTATCGAAACGGGTTTTTGCCCGATAAACGCTGCTTTGCGAAAGGATTGTTCCGTTATCGCACGAAAATTATTTCTCGTGCTTTGACAGTGCGATCGAGAGGATGACCCGATATACTTATTTATACCTCGCGAGCGAACGAAGCTGATGAACGACGATGATACACGGAGCAAAATGCACTCCGGACGTCTTGCTCTAGGAACGCAGCAATTTAGCGATATCAGCCGACAGGCCGACGTAACTAATTCTATCTACGTAGCGCCACTTGATAATTTGCTCGGGAAAACATATTAGATCGCCACCAAGGCGGTCGCTAATTACAGGCTGTCCATGCGGCTGTCCATACGGATGCATCGGCGCTGCGAAGGAGATGTTAAACCACTCCGGCGAAAGTCGTCCGGCTTCAATTATCAATGTCAGCTGCTGTCATCGCTTCCTCCTAAAACTTCTGAAAGCGGCGGGTTTTCTCGATTAATCGCAATTTCTCCAACACCTGTATTTACGGATAATTCAGAAATTGTTTACGCGAAATATCGACTGAAAACACGTATCACTTACTTTTTGGTAAATAATAAGGTGTAATATTTTGTGTTATATCGTATTTAGTGAAACTTATTTTTAGAAAAAGAAAGTATTAATATAAATCATTCTCTGAATTAAAGACATCTCAGGAATCTTCATGGTTTGGAAAATATTTCTATAAAAAAAAAAACTAGGTGCTATTAATCTTTTGTAAGAATTTGCGGCAGAGAATCATCAATAACAAATAGCTAACCGGTCACGCATCATATTGATATTTCGCAGTAGCGAGATCTGACGTACGACCAGCTGCACGAAGCAATATGTTCTCATTTTGCTCTCTTTTGGCGCACAGAGGGATTAACCAGGTTCTATCTTTGTTTGAAACGTCATGTCTATGTTCGACATCTCGTTACGACTGATCAGTTAATGCTTTCCAAGAAAAATGAGATTCTGCGAAGGAATATTCATTATGTGGTTTTGCGAATTATAATATTATAAATAACATATCTTTGATTCATCTTCAGACTACCTAATTTGTTAATAAAATGTCGACTTTACTGAACGAAACGCCTCACGCAATCTACGCTTAAATTACTGAAAGTAATTCGATTTTATCCAATTACATCTATCTTTTCTTAATACAATTTTTTATGAAATAGTTTTTGGAGTTATTAACAAAGGAGAAAAATATACTTTTTTTGTTAAAAATTTAAAAGATAAATATAAAGATTTTATTGCAAAAATTGGGTTTTTTGGGTTTTTAAAAATATTTTACACTTAACTATCGAAAATTTTGGATAAATTTTTTTTAATAAATAATTAATTTTAATTTAATTAACAAATTTTGTTATGTGAAATATTTACAATATTTTAGACGTGCCACGTAAGATATCGATTTTTTTCGTGCCTTTAAATTATTATGATCACATTGGTTGATTTCCGCGAGTAATTTAATAAAAAATGATAGATTTTTTAATTAATTTTTTTCAAAGGTTTATCCTGTAAAATTTTGTGTCCTGGAAGGAAGAAAAATAATCTTGCGTCACTGTTAAAATAACGTTTGCATACTTTGTTGCCAGGTGACGTGCCACATGAGGCACCCAAAGCTCGATTCCGCGATTCCACGCGGACATATAAAGTCGGTCCTCCACCGACGGCAGCCGTCAGTACGAAACGACACCTCTGACAGAGGAACACGGCTTTCGGTCTCCTCCGGGCTGCAACATGCTCTCGCTATACTTCATACACGTTTAACGTTACACGCGAGATATCGAAAAAAATATCAGGAAAACGCGATAAATCTTCATGAAGCCATTTCGTAAACATATCTCTGCGAAATTTACGATTGCATCTTATTGATAAACACGGTTTTACTGAGCGCTGGTGAATTAATTAGCCATAAATTTATTAACTTATAAATTAAACTTTACTTGTTCGAGAAAATTTTGTAAGTAAAGTGCGGTTTATCAAGATGAATCCCTTGGATGTAATAACAATTTTCTTTGCAAAGTTGCAATCAGAAGACGAATTTTGTGTATCAATGTGTGAGTTGATTTCGGCTGCCGCATCTAATTAGTGTGCTCGTCCTCTGTCAACAGTATATATACACAATCCGCACTCACAACAGTGCAACAGGTTAGTTAAGTGTTTGCAACGATCAAGATTTAACGTAATCTTTTAAATAGAAATTTAAAAAACATAAAATTATAAATTATTTTTAATTTTGATTTTCAATAAGATAAGTTCAATAAAAAATAAATATTCCTAAAGTTTAAAATTATGAAGCACACGATTATTTAATCATAATTATAATACATAAATATATATATAAAATATAATTGAGAAAATAGAGTGATTTAGCGGCAGTAATTAACGTAATTTCACACAATATTTAAAATAACTTTATATAGACGTGTCTAAACAAGAATAATTTATCATTAATAAATTACACAAATATAATAATGCATTAATTTATCGTAAACATACTGAGAATTGATAAAATCTATTTTCTATACTTTGAAAATTTATGATTATACTTAATTCAGCAATTAGAGCTTAGATAAAATGCTGCTTGGTTCCTTTTAATTATCACAGTCTGTATAATTGCCAACGCACCAATTAACGAACGCCGTAGACAAAAATGTGCAACATGCTCAAAGGCTGATTAGCTACATGCCACTTTCGTTCGAAAATTACTCCTTATTCACAGCCTTGTTCACAGGTTTGCCTTTTGCAAACGCGTATTAATAGTGTGGCGATGCTGGTGCTTCGATAATCGTAAAAATAAACGGCACACCGCGACTTGCGTAAGAAGATTCCCTCAAATGTTCTATCTTGCCGCGACGTAACGTGTTTTCACTGCAATAAAGTACACACCTAATAAACAAGAGTCAGATAGAAAACATACATACGGAAACGTATGTGAATAATTTCCTAACTCGCAATAAGAGCTTCCACATGTACGCTGAATGGTATCTTCGGCACGTGTTAATGGTTGCTTGTTTGCAATGAGCTACTACACTTTTAATTTACATCCTTATCATGCAAATTATAATCAATTCAACATTAATATTAATGGAAAAAAAAAAAAGAGAACTTTTAGTAAAATGAATCGCAATCGTCGCAAATCACGTAACGGCTTATAAATTCTTATTTAAAATCGCTTTTGATCGGAAATACAAGACATATACACTGAATAAAAAGTTAATAAAATTATTGTGCATAATTATGCATGCGCAACTTATTTGCTATTCGTAGTACATTATTTTTAAGCGCACGCGCAACACATTTGACACACCCTCGGGCAATAATTGTAAGCCTAATGAGCAATCCGTATGCTCTTAACGATCGTATATCACACGGGCTAATTTGCATCCCGCCGTGCATTTATACGCGTTAATAACGTTGCGATCTCGTTTCGAGTGTCAGATGCACAATCCCTTTTCGACTTTATGGATATGTTTGTCACTGAACAACGCACGTCAAACTTACACGACAGCATTGTGCACCGGGTACATTGATGTTATCGCTCTCGACATTTCAGAATGTGGAGCTTATAATGGTGTTCACTCGCGGGTTCCGTTTCTGCAAAAATTCTCCGTGGCACTACGACCGGCGCACGCTCGACTGCGGCGAATTTATCGTACTCGATTATACAAGTGCACTTGCATAATTAGCGACGCGACTTCGCCCGCCGTCTTTGTCGGCGATTTATCTCGTAGCGCGCGCATTCGATTTACGCGGGGATCAGCTTTCCATTCTGTAAACGAACGGAATTAGTTACGATGTATTTATGATCTGCATACTTGCAATTCTTACGACTTTGATTAATCGATTTTGGCGAAAAAATGCACGACCCAATTCTATTTCGAAACGGAAAATTACATTACAAAATCGCGCTGTCACGAAAGAGGGACGGTCGTTTGAAGAGAACTTAAAGACACTTAAATCTGAATTTTTCTCTAACTATCGACATGCACAGCTAAATACGATAAATAGGGAAATCTCTCGTTTGTATAATCTGCAGATAATTCTAGCTCCGGGCTACTCCACCTTCGACAGGTCGACGTACGGGTAATATAAGTTCTTGTCTAACGCTCACTAGCAACTGGAGCATGAAAGCATTATACGTGCATGTGCGCTCACATGCGCGCCAGCCGATGACTTCTCTAATATCCAATTTCCTTCGCCACGGACAGTCTCTCTGGCGTCGCGCCACAACATTTGATTTGAATGTCAAACATCGTTAAGTGCAAACAGGACATAACGATAATTAAATCGCGAGTTATTAATTAAATAAATGACAAGACTAATGCAAATTATCATACTTGCATTTTCGTAATTTCTACCACGGCACAAACTGCACAGTAATAAATGGGCTGAAATTTAAAAATAGCACAGAACAGCTGACGTACTGGTGCAAAAAAAATTCGAATGTTAATCAGACACTAAATATTCTCGCTTGGAACTCGCAAAGAAACGTTCACATTTGCGATTAGCCACGTGTATTCCCATCCTTATTTTTTACCTACAATATCGTTGGCGAATATATACGACACATTTTGTCTTAAGAATAATTTTATTCTCAAGATATTTCTTTTCATTTTATTCTTATATAGAAAGTGTAACGTAAAGATACGAATAAGAAATAGCTATGAATGAATTTATAGGTCGTACAAAGTAATAAACTTTGTAGATAGTATTATTTTATTATTTTATAAATATCTTGTTAAGCAATAACATTTAAGTAAGATTGAATTTACAAGGGTTCAATCAAGCTCTCGTAAAGTTGCAGATCGTCGGGACCTTATGAAGATGATGATGTAATTGCATTCCTCGCGATTGGTGCCGGTGTTAACAGAATTTTATCTCTGGAATGTTACTATGATGTGCTTATCGTCATCATTCGCAAAATATCGCAGAAATAACTTGAAGACTATTCGATGAAACTGCGAATTCCATAGTAATTACGCGAAAAGATACGGAAGAACTGTTATATTGATTCATTTATTAAAAGAGACTCAAAGTGTACGCATCTTTTAACACTGTATTTTGAAATGTTTTAAAATTATTTTACTCACAATATTATTAAATCACATAATTGCCGCAAATTAATCATTATCATTACAATTAATTAAAATTTAAAAAAAACAAATAATAACAAAATTACGTTCTCTAATATAAAAAAGATTTTATGTTAATATATAAAAAAATTTAATATCTTAATAGGAGATCGAGAGGTTCAATGAAAAGACAGTTTGCTTTGCGATTCAAGTAATCGAAGAAAGTTTTAATCGGCAGCGAAATCGACATTACAACGAGCAGTGATTTGAAAGCGTGAAAAAATGACGTAAAAATTAGACGCGCAGATAAAAGTGTGCATCGTCGTCCGGAAACTGCAGCGAGATGCATCGACAGTGAGGCCGAGGGAGCGAAAATCCGTCAAGATGCAATCACTCGTCCTTCCCTTTTTGCTGCTATCTTTAACGGTAAGGCATAAGCGCAACGCGCGACTAACATATTGACGCGTGATTTACCGCGCCATTAAGTCGGCCGACCGGCTGCAGCCTCAATGTCAAACTCGTATATCAAACGTGGGCGAAATTGTTCGTAAATATGTTCCGGCATGTGTCACGAACATCGCACCGCCGGTCTTGACCGCTGAGGTCGATCACATAATTTCCTCTTGGAAACAAAGATAAGAAACCAAAGTCTTTATACCAATTTGCGAAAGTCTTGAATTTTATCGGGATGAGATGGCAGAATTCTAGACTTAAAGACTGGAGATAAAGAGACGAGAGAGTTTATTGACCGTAATCAGGTTTATAACTGATTTTACTTTTACGCGTATTGTTACCGAATGCTATTAATCAATAAATTCTTTTATTTCTACCGATGTATCTCTGCTAATAATTTATTTAGTAAGTGTGAGGCACATTTTGTTAAAAACAATATAATGATATTTAATCCATAAAAATTCACAGAGATAAGTTTAGAGAAATTTTTCAGAAATGAGCTCTGTATAATCTTTGATCTTCGGAATACAAATCGAATGGGTCTGTTCCGATGTCTATTTTCCCTTTTTTGGCTTGTAACGTTTTTTTCAGCCGAGACGAGAGACTCTTGTTGATGATAGTTCGGCTTCTACAAGGTAATAAAAAAGTGTTACACGGAGACACTCTTCGTCCCACGATGATAAGAGTCTTTTATAAGAGGGCGTAGCTTTATCTACATGCGTGGCGGAAATTCTCCGAAAATGCGCGCATATATTTTTAACGTAGGTTAACGCACGAACACATAATTGATACCATTGGTGCATAGTAGTTAAAATATAAATTTTCAAGAAACTTATGAAGCACATATATGGAATAATAAATATAAATAAAACAAGGTATCAATTTTAAGATGCAACAAAATAAATAATGCAGAAAACATCTTTTCAATCAATTAGATTTTTATTAATAATAAAACGTTGAAAAAAATCGAAAAATTTAAGAAAGTTGGTTGAACAGATCGTTTTAATCTATTTTTAACACCGTAAATATATTCTTTAATTTACTTATATGCTTTTTACAAAATTGTAATAAATATTTTAATATTGCAACTCATTATTTGCACGTTACCTTGTACGCATGTTTAAGTTTGCAGTTTTTTTCTTAATATTAAGATCAAAGTGCTGTGGTACGTCAATTAATCACTCTGTTAGGGAAAAACATGTTCAGTGAGCTGCGAGGATACTTTTGTGTAGAAAAAATATAGCATGTTGTTTTATAAAAAATTGCAAAAAATATCACTGGATATTAATTAAAACAAACGATCAGCCTTGTACGATAATGTCATCATAACATCACCTCGACTGGCCCGACCGGCTCGCGCGTAAAACGCTGTTATATTAGCATAATTAAGCGCTACTGGCGCCTAATTGTGGATAATTTAGAGACGCGCGACAGCCGTTCCTTTCTACGCGAATCAGCGGCGACGTGCGAAGATCTCAAAGTTAATCGAATTTTCAGATAATCAAATATATACGCGGGGTATTGAGTTCCGGTATGTGTGATGTAAATTACGTTTGAATAGATCTTGTATAATGAATGTGTTGAATAGGAAGTCTCGCTTAACACATTCCTGCGGCTAAGTGCGCTGCCGGCCGTGTGTATTTTTAGAATGGCAGAATAATATAATCGGGGCAGAATGTGCAACTTCCTGCCACATGATCCGAAATCGGATCGCGAATCCCAACCGCGAGGAATTTTTAAAGCGGCCATAAATTTTATACTTTCTATAAATATCGCGCCCGCGCGCTCTCTCTCTCTTTGAAAAAGGTAGAAACTCAATATTACAAAATAGTTTTTATTTTAGAAACTGTTATCGTTATCCAACATACATAAATGTGGTGATAAAATATCTTTTTAAATTACAAATCTTTCATTTTCTTAATATTCAAAGTTTTGAGTTAAAGGCCAAAGATTAATAATAAATTTGTGTTCTTTAACTTCAACGTAACCTTAATGTCAATTTCAAGTATGAATTACTCTTTCCATATCGCTGTCCTATACGTTCACTACATTATGAACGTTTTTGCAGAACATTCTTTGTACTGAAATACGACAAACGATGTCCGCGGGGCAGTGAAATTTTCGCAGGAAACTACTGTTATAATTTTTACGGCCGGCCAAATTACGACTTTCACTGGCCTACAATCTATTTGACATATTTATGTGGCGGTTATTCGTCTTTATTACTGTGGACGCGTGGCGCCAGAAGTTTGCGTCGATTTCGCATATCCGCAGCGCGCTTATTTGCAATCCACGACGTCTTTATTTACTGCATATCCGTTTTGTTTAATGATTTACGAGATTTCTTGTCGGCTTGAGAGCGGAATTGAATTTTCTCGGCTGGTATTGACAAAACATACATCGCTGACCAACCTTTATGTCGCTGTCGTCATTTGTTCTCGAAATATTTTATGTGCTAAGCTTAAATGTTCATTATTTACAGCCTTCGTCAATTTTGCAGAAGAACAATAAATGACAAGATCCGTTATTTACAGCAAATATATGGAAATCTTTATTACTAGATAATTTGCGAAGATAATGGAAAATTACCTATATTCCGGTTTTAAGGAACTTTAAAGGTATGCAATAACAATGTGTTAAGGATAATGAAAATTTATGTTGTTCTTCAGATTATAACCGTGTAAGGTGTAAAAAAAAATTGTCACAATGTATATTTATGTAAATCGATCGATATAGAATGCATATTATTATTTATAGAATCGTATAGAATCTAACAAATAAGTTTCTTGCTTTCAAATTATATTAATCACATTTTTCTTAAACAGTCGGAAGTTTCAGATAATTGAGCAGTTTGGATAATTTGGATCTCGAGGTCAAACATCAAGTAGTTTAGACATTTCGAGTTAAACAGTTTGAACAGTTGGAATATATTTTTAGCATATACATCTAATGCATACTTATCTCATTTGTGCCCATTGCAAATTTATATTATGCACAATTTGTAGGCATCTGTTCAATGTCTTCGTAAACAAATGTGTTCTAAATACGTTCTTGCTCACTGCATTTCGCTTTGATTCTATTTATTAAAATAATTCCATATCTAAATTTTTCTTTTAAACATTTTACAAACAAATTTTATAAAATTGAAAATATGGACAATGTAATTGACACATACGTAAATTTAGGTTGAAACAAAAAGCTGTTTATTTTGCATATTACTTGCTCTCATTTTTTTCAATGTTTAAACTGTTCAAATTTTTAGACATTATAAATTGACATTACAGATTATTTATGTCTAAACTATTTAAATTCAAAGCGGTCAAAGTATTTTTGCTCCAAACTTTGTTTCAACATACAATGCGTTTGGATTTTTTGTTTGAGTCCTAATTTAAATATCAAAAGTAGCGAACAAAGGAACGCAGAAAGCTACTTTAAGAAGAATTTTAAATGTTTGATCTAATGGCGGATTTACAAAAAGAGCATCGCGGTATATAAAATACAGCAGGTTCGTCATTATGTGCCGCATTTAGGGTGATGGGGATTTAACGGCTTGAGTGGCCACGAAAATAACGCACCGAAAATAAGCGCTAAGCACAGATTCGATGTTGGGTATCATCGTGAGACGATCGGCTCAACGCCGTCGATCTTGATTATCGTAAAAAGGGAGATGCACTGCCGCGCTGTCTCGGGTTCATTCAGCATCACTCTCGACGGTGACATTACGCATAATCCGGCTAAGCCGGCGCTTAGAAGTCTGATGAAGTGCATCCGATCTCCTAGACTGCGTTTTTGTACGCCATTCATCCGGTGTGTATGTTGCGTGTGTCTGTATGTCATACGTTAAAATAAAAAAAATTTATTGCATAAAATATAACGATAAAAATTATTTTTATCAAAAAAATTGATGCCGACGTTTGATTCATATTTATCTCATTTCTGAATATAGTTTCGAAAAAACTTTTATAATTTTTGAACCAAAAATTAATTCTAGGATGCATAATTATTTCTACCTTTGAATCTTCATTTACTTAATTTTGTTAAAATAAATACAGAGGTGCATCGTTTTTTTCTGTTAAATTAACGAAGCATTAAATTAACGAATTAAACGTGTAACTCGAAGCGGTTAATTAGGTGAGAAGAATGACACGCGCGCGATACATAATCTCTGAGGTAACCGAGAAAATCATTTAGTCGTCAAAAGATGCCCCTCCCTTTATCGCGTATATGTTTCTCAGCGGTGCGCCGAGTGTACATACGCACGCGTTATTTTATCGCAATGTAAACACCTGATGCCAGACGAGGAACTACACATACGCAGACTCGACAGAATTATGGCATGTTCATTGTTATTTACGATGTACGATGCGATTCCATAAATTTTAATATAACTTCTTAGTTGAAATTATTTCACTCGAACAGTTTCACACTATTGCCTCCAGAATAAGAACATCAGTGACATATTTGCGACTATGCTTAAACTCTAATTATAGCGAGTATCTGTTTAAATTAAACAGTTTTCTAAAAACTACGAAAACTTACTTGATTAACTTCAAAACAAATGATTGCAAAGATGTATTTATTGTCAACATTGTTTCTTGTTGACTTTCGAGATATTATTTTGATATATTTCACACGGTGATAAGTTTTACAATCATTTCGCAACGGAATCTAAATTAGAAAATTATTCTTATTTATATCATTGTTTGTATTACTTTTGCGGGTAATTCTTTCTCTTTCACATTCCGGTTGGAGCAACGAACGTTCTACGTCACTGTGCATTCATTGTTCGTCGCCGATTTATGAATTCACTCATGCGATATTCATACAATTAACATCGTGCGATCTCGCGTATACAAACGGCAAGCAAGTTGACATTCATCCCGAGTTAATCCAATTGAAGAGAGGAGTGTCAGTTTGGGCGCGGCTTGATGTGCAATTCGTCGATTAGACCTGGTTGAAAATGGACAGCCGGTCTCGATCGAGCCCCGTCACTCTTTTAAAATTACATTACACGTGACATGTAAAACGTCGAACTATGATATTGCAAATATTTTAGACACCGAGTAAAAACTGTGCTGCTAAAGAAACTTTTGAAACATAAATGCTAAGCTTACAGCGTTACAATTTATTTAATGCACCACACATTTTACATTTAGCGGAACAAATAATTCTTTATAGAACTTTAATTAAATTTTTGAATATCAGTTCTACTAATAAAGTTCGCGCGAATTTTGCTGAATAATGAAGTTTATGAGAATCTACACGAACTTTGTTGATTATTTGACAGAATTTTAGAATTAATAAACAAAATCATTTATGATATTAAGGCAATGTGGGAGCAATAGTTGGAAAAATGATTTATCGCGACAGACACTAGCAATCCAGGAAGCTGGCGGTAGATTAAACGAGATTTACGTAGACCTCGTGAGTGCCACGAATAGCACCACGTGGCATCGTATGGCGTGATAATACTTTGATCGCGATTCAGGTCGAATCGCGCATCTTGCATCTCCAGCCACCGTTTGATCGCTTCATTAACCTTGATGATCTTACGCAGCAATCTGGCAAGGAAGCCAAAACATTCCACCATTTCGATGTACTAGATCTCGCTGCTATTTCGATATCTTTATAAGGTACTCTAAAAGAAACGTACACGATAAATATGGATCCAACGCAATTCACGCTTTAATAATTACGCGGGATGTCTTCCCTTCTCTTTATTTAAGTTCGATTTCTGTTTGTTATTTTGAACGAGGCACGTCATTGTTCCTGATTTATTTGCTTTCGGTGCTAAAATATATGTATTAGATCACGCATCTATAAAGTGTTCTTACGCACTTGTGCTAATTTTCAAGACGACTCATGACTAGTGTTTATTTTTATGCGTTAGCGTAACAGTGGGTGCGTTAACCGTGCAAATGCAAAATGCTCGTTCGTGCGTTGCACAGAGGAAAGGGTGATGCGAAATTATGACTGTCACGGCGTAAATTTAGACGATTTGCCACCGTTTTGATCCGTCTGCACTCTGCCATCTCGTCTGGCTAAACTCACGACGGTCTGGAAATGAAAAATCGCGACACGCCAATTAGAAGATAACTTTGCCGTCTAAAAAAACATTCTGCCATTTTTTTTTTTAATGCATCGGTTATAATGTGCGACTAGCGACACGGAAATCGAGATTCTTATCAAGCGTACAAGCGCATCGCCTGTCTGCGCATCGAGAGTGGGTGTGTCGCTTCCTATTAATTCATTTCGCAGATTCGCATCAGCACGGCAATTCATGCTTTCTGCTAATTCCACTTCAACATCTGGGAAAATATAAGGATCCGGCCAGGATCGTTATTCATCGGCGATCTAACAGAGCGCTCAAGCTTTAATCTTGGATGCTGAAGCTTTGATTGATGTTCCGTTCACGAAGCTGCACAATTTATTATCTTTCTCGCGCATTTCTTAGCCGAGCACGTGTTATATCGACTGTTTCAGTGTGGTGTGAGAGTTGGCAGCGGTCATCTGATAGACGGAATTTTCAGCTTTGATTGATGTTCCGTTCACGAAGCTGCACAATTTATTATCTTTCTCGCGCATTTCTTAGCCGAGCACGTGTTATATCGACTGTTTCAGTGTGGTGTGAGAGTTGGCAGCGGTCATCTGATAGACGGAATTTTCACGGAGCCGACTTTGGAGCCGGGCTACAATTTGGTGGCGGTGGTCCCGCGTGGCGCCTTGGCATTGAACGTGACTGAACTCCGTCACACGCAAAACTATCTTGGTGAGAGAAACAGGCAGTTTATCCCCATTAATGCACGATGATTAAGATAGCAAAATTATTTCCGTTTAATTTCACGTCAAATTTTGTACTCCGCGTTTTAAGCGCACTTTGCATTTATTTATAAAATTATTTAAATAATGTTTTATCTTGTTTCTTAAGTATTTCTTATTGGTAATATTTTATAACATATTTTAATGACTGTAATAATTCTTTTAACGGCAGCATTACAAAGTATATGATTTTTTTTATAGAAAGTAAAATAAAATTAATTGGAAGTGCTTTATTATTAAGTATAAATTGATGTCGGTGCAAGTTTGTATATTTTGCAATGCAAATTGATCGTTACGTGTCTAGGTCGTGACTGGTAGATTCTTTTTAATGACGTTCAGATCCTATCAATGCTAACATTAATTGCACGATTGGCGCCAGATAGAATAATTCAGTGGTATCGCTTTGGATTTCGTGGAAAATGCAACTAACCGGTTGCGAGGAATGCATTTCCACCTACCGCGATTTCTCACCGTTTATGCTCACTGTTACGGTAACCCGTTATACGGCGTGGTCGTTAAATAGCGACCGCGCCCGATGATTAAGATCATCGCCGCCCCGCGAGTGATTACATGCAAAAATTAATTTGCAGCTGATACTCTATTTATGAAATCGAAAATGACTAAGCACGATTGAAGGAAATGAAAATTGCACTACTTTCCGCGGTAAAATTATGGATTTCTTACTCTTATATTTACAAAAGAAATATTTATGACAAAAAAATTGGAGATTATTAGACGCAGATTTATGCGTTAAAATAACTGCGTTGGCTTAATCATCTAGTTAATCATTCGCAATACTCGTCTCGGTCATTTTCTGAGAAAAACTCTTGACAACTAATAATTGCCTATTATAAAACAAGAAAACGCAAATCGTTATTGACGGTTACGATTATTGAATTTGCAAAAATAAATTGATTTTTTTCCTCTTTAAACAGTGCGTGGCGTGTCTAAGACGAAACATTAAAATACTTTACGTAACCTGCAATATTTTTATTATATGGCGTGCGCGGTTTTTGATTCTTGGGATTCTTGAGATTACGCTTTTTGAAGGATTTATGGATGAGAAAAGAAAAACCACAAAATGTTTGCAACGGCAGTAATTGATTTTCAATCTTTTCATTTTCATTTTATTATTCATTATTTTTTATTAAAAGCTATTCTAGCTTTTTCGAATTTGTAAGATTTTAGCTGCTAATAAAAGTTAGCAAGAGATAATACTATAACATATTAATATTTAACAAAAATAAAAGAAGAGGACATAAAACATTAATGATAATAATAGTAACAAAATAAAAATAATTGATATTTGTGTTATTATTTTCTAAAGTGATTTTAATAACATATAAACAACGATAAATTTATTGTAGCAATGCTTAAAACAAATATTATTTTTAACTTTGGCAGTCAAATAATCAGAATTCGATTAGAAATTGAGCCTCAATTTGCAACGAAGCAATCATCATTGCCGCCTTCAATGCCGCTCGAATCCATTCATCGCTCGATCAGAGCAACGTAATGATTGCCTTTCACAGGATGCGAACAACAGATCATAATCGCTGTGTCTCCTATGCAATGATCGCGTCGTCGATAAGCGAACGAATCACCAGCGCGTGATTAGTCGGATCGTTAACAATGCTGTCGGAACTTTCATTACCGCCGACGCGATACACCCTCCCATTATCCTCACCTAATCTGCGAAGATAGATTACTCGAAGGCAGCAGAAAATCACTCTGCATAAAATTAAATCCACAATCTTTGAGAATACAAAGATAACATTGAAACATAAAAATGCATATGAAACTTTATTTCATAAATTTTTATAATTTAAATCTATTATAATTAAAAATTTTTAAGATGGATAAAGATCTGATATAAAAGAATAATATATTATAATAAATTTTATAATAAATTTTACTGTGCACGCACGTGTTTTGACTCCTTTTAATTCGTTTCCCTTTCACTTTACTTTTTCATTTACTTTGCGCAGAATACGTCTGTACAGAAACGCAATCTAATCAGTCGCGGCGTCGTAAATGGAACGGAGTCCGTTGTCCCACTAAATTAGATGCACCGGCCCGTGCTATGTGGATTACATAAATCGCGCGCGACCGTAACTCGCACATAAACGACCGCCATTGTACGCGTAAAGTCTCGCTTAAGCGATCGTGATTGCCGGCTTTGGCGTGATCCGTGTCAATCGATGTGTCGAAGATCATCGCCACTCTTTCAATAGAACTAGTAGTTCATTTGCGAATAAATGCGGTCATCAAGTGACTTTTTGATCCAGCCAGTCAAATATGTTTGCAATGCCTTTAAGACAACTACATAGTTACATTAGATTGAAAAAGTTTTATCAGAAATAAATATATAATATGATGCAAATTAGGTTAATTATTTTTTGTTAATTTTATTAAAATATTTTTATCTCAAATATTATTCAGAACATTAATATCTTTTTTCTAGTTTTTATTGTATAAAAAAAAACATAAAGTGATATAAATTTGCAGCTATTAGACTGCAAGATGGCAGCTATTTGTTGAACGGGAATTACACTATCAATTGGTCCGGCGAGTATAAGGCAGCTGGAACAACGTTTATTTATCTTCGTCAGGGTCCTCAGAATTTAGAAAGCTTTTCTGCCGCAGGTCCATTACAGGAACCCATAGATGTCATGGTAAGTAAAGTGAATAGATATTAATAAATCATGTGAGGCAGTTTAAGTAAGTGGGAGCCGTTCCCATGTGATGGAACAGAGCGTCAACGTTTAATATCCATATTTCAAGCTTCCAAGACATAATAAACATATCTGCATTTAAAAATAATATAATCAATAGTAAATGTTGATATGTTTGTCTGTGTAGTGAGAGTTGCGACTCTGTAGAATATTTTGCACCCTTCAGTCAAATTGTAGATATTATTATTACGCGATCGTAACAATGGTGCTTCACGAGCGGCGATATGAAACATTGTTGCGCGGGCAATCGTGGGCGTTAATAGGTTCAACCGAGTTCCACTTAACCCTTTCACCGCTGATTTTCCGCCACACGATCATCATAAATCATGTAGATGCTATATTTAGTGAAATTAAATTATCATTCTACTTTCATGTGTTAAAATTTTTAAGACTAAAATAATATACGAATTACTTAATATTATCGTATATTACGTATTGGAATGACTTATTGTATCTCTTCGATTACTATTATATTTCGTAGGTTTTATATCAAGAACCAAATCCTGGCATTGTTTATCGATACGTTATTCCCGGAAATTCTCCAAGAAGCACTCATCTCACGCACAATTCAGGTACATATTTCATCGATCGTGCATATTTAAAAAGATTTTGATAACTAATTTTGCTTATATTTTTAAAACTTATTTTACATAATACAAAAGAATTTAATAAAGAGAAATTAAATTTTTAGTATAACTCAATTTTCTTAAAATAACGAGGACTAATGATATTGATTTGTAAAAGAATTATTTATTTATAGTTTCCAATAATGGTGTCGAGCCTGGCTTACAAAATAGAAGGTAAAATTATTTTTAATACATCAACATATATTTAATTAATCTAAGAAATTGAAGCATTGTCACATAAATCAGCAATAATTTGCGTTTTTATTAATGTATTTCATAGTTAATTATGCATAATTTTTTTTATTACAAACACAAACAATTTAATTTTAGAATTGAAAACGGGCCTACAATAAGTGATGTAACACCCTCGCCGTATCTATCGCGACGTTACAGGAGAAGAAAATTTACCTGGAAAGCAACTGGCTACAGTGAATGCAGCAAATCATGCGGCGGAGGTAAACAAAATGTAGCTAGTAATTAGTTTGCTTTATGACAATTTGTGCGGATACGCCGGTACAAAGGGCTTCTGTGTATTACATAAGGTGTACAGACACTCAGGCATTTGTGTATCAAAGAGCACACACAGCAGCAAGTACCGGAAAAGAGATGCCACGCGTTGGAACGACCGCGAGAAATTCGTCTCAGGTGCAACACCAGGCCGTGTCCACCAAGGTAACTCGGCTTTAATTTATAAGACAACAGATATTATATATATAATGGTGCTATAAAAATATATAGCCTCGAATAAATTTAATTATATCGCAATTATATAGCATCTTGTTAAATACGTTCAAATTTTTTAAAGAAAATATCAGCTTACGACGGAAAGTTTTTAACAAAGATAAAACTACTTGTAAAAAAATATATTGTTGTAAGATTGCAGGAAGATGTAAATTAAAAATTTATTACCGCTGCGCGAACAATTAATGAAAACGTTTTTAAATGTTGCAAGAATCAAATTAATTATCTAAAACGCTCTATCTATTTAGCAATCTTTAATATCTGTGTAAAAATTCTATGAGAACTCTGTACTCTCTCTCTCTCTTTCTCTCTCGAAGGTGGCGTGGCGGACCATGGAGTGATTGTTCCACTTCCTGCGGTAGTGGAGTTCGCACGCGCGAACTTGAATGCGTGCAGGAGGTGAAATCGTCATTAACGATGCGAATCGCCGACGGGGCTTGCACAGATCCAAGAAATCTGCCGACAACCGAAGTGTGCGAAATGCCAGCGTGCAACGAGGAGATTAGGCCAACACCGACTCAGGCGTCTTCGCAAACATCGGCACCGCGATGGACTGTGGGCGTTTGGTCGCAAGTAATTTTATCTTGTTATACATTCTAGTGAAATAAATCGATTTGTAATGATACTTTGCTATATAAGTAAAGAGGATAAAGCATGCGACGTATGTCACATAAATTTCAATATTCAATAAATTGCGAGCACTAACAGAATGATACAATATTTCCAAGCTGTAGACTTTGATATTTTATTTTAAATATTTAATTTAGCTTAATTGAATAGATAATTTAGATATATAAAATTATAGTATTTTGTTTGATAGACTATTTTTTCGCGAGATGCAAAATAATAAAAAAAAAAATCTTTTTATTAATTCTTTTAATTTAAGAACGAATCCCTGGCGGTCGTCCTTAAGTTAAAAAGTGGATCTCGATCAAATTGCAATTCTTTAATTTTGTGTGTTTTAAAGTGTTCTACGTCTTGCGGCGTAGGAAAGAAAATGCGAGTTGTAACTTGCATTACTCAAGGTGCTCCGTGCGATCTCTCAGAAAAGCCCGAGATACATGAAACGTGCGACTTAGGATCATGTTTAGCAAAACCAACGCCATTAAACGTTATTTCTGCAAAGCTTCAGAGTCCACAATGGTTATTTACCGAATGGTCTGACCAAGTAAGCCTATTTACAAATGTTTTATTTACAAAAACTAAAATTATCACTCTAACGAGACATGCATAATATCAGCTTAACATTAACAATTAGCTTATTATTTATATTCTTGCAATAAACCAAAAATAATATAAGAATGTGAAGTTAGCGTATTGTTTAGAACATTACTTTTCATAATACAGATACACACAATTGTACTAATTTTATTATTATCAGCAATTTAGGATTTTATTGATTAATTATATTAATTAATTATATTAATTTATTGATTTTAGTGTTCAGCGGAATGTGGTACTGGAGTTCAGACCAGGAGAGTTCTGTGCGAGACAAACTCTGACGACGAGTATTGTGATGAATCGAATCGACCTGAAACTTCTAGAGATTGTTTAAGCAACAGAACCTGTAGCGGTCAATGGTTCACGGGGCCGTGGACAGAGGTCAGATAAACATAATTATCTAATAAAAAATTATATAAAATAATAGCAAGTTCCTATTTAAAATTATTTTTTCTGTAAATTAAAAGCTTCAGTCTTCGAGTATTTTAATACTGAAGCTTCGAATCTTCGAATTTTTCAAGTTCGAATATCGAAACTTTCAAAACAAAACACTAGCCATAATAAAAGAACTCGTATTGCAAATAAAATTCTAAATTAATTTTAAAAAATAAAGATAAAATAAAATATCTGTATCAACTTTAGTAAAAAATACATATATATAGTTCTATGCGTAGTATGGAAATATATTTTTTTAAATTAATGATTAATTATTATTTTGTATTATTTTTTTTTTATTTTATATTGTTTAGTGTTCCTCAAGCTGCGACTTGGGTGAGCAAGTCAGAGATGTAGTATGTGTTACTACTCTTCGAGGCTCTCTACGCGTTGTGTTGGACATGAATTGTCCTGCGAACAAGCCGGAAACTAGGAAACCTTGTAGAGAACGTCCTTGCACGTCTACTTGGTTCATATCAGACTGGACATCGGTAATATTTATGAATTTAGCAAAAAGTAACAGTTTTTGATTCGCTTCTGTAATTTGTAGTGTTCACGATCCTGCGGCAAAGGTACTCAGAAACGTGAAGTACGATGTCTAAACCCGGACGGACAATTACCAAACTCTCATGAAGTTCACTGCCGAGAGGATGACCGACCGGTATCTCGAAGGACATGCAACGATTATCCTTGCAAAGACGATTTACGCGCGTCCGAAAATTCTCACAGGGTTCTGCAAGTTCAGGACGATCCCGAGATAACAAATGGTAAAACTTATTAAAATTTATCGGATAATTGTTACACAAAAATATTCTGTAAATTTCACAAATCAGCCCTGGACGTAATAAATAATACCTATATAAAATAATAAATCCACATGCCACATTCCATTATTTGTTTTAGGTGTCGAGAGCAATCCGTTTTGCAAGGACAAAATAGCTAATTGTAATTTAGTCACGCAAGCTCGGCTCTGCTCGTATCAATTTTATCAAGAATCTTGCTGTCTATCGTGTTCCCGAATCAAGCAAGATTTGGAATAGAAATTTCTCGACAATCACGATTCTTTCATGCCAGACGTGCCTTCACAGTAGATATTAATATCGCCAATTAAAACTCAATTTTTACCACTTACTGATAATTTTGATCATAAATAAACAGTGAAACTTTTGTACGTTCTACGTGTAGAAGTGTAGATATGCATGCTGCAGAGCAATTTAATACGAAGTCTGTGACTTTGCTGGTAAATTCGAGCAAGTTATTTGATGGAGAACATGGAGACCGATCGCGTGCATAATTGTTGATCCGTTTAATCGCAGCGATCCGACGCAGCATTTAGATCCGCACTGTTCTCGCATAATCATACATGTATATCAAGCATTAATAAATTTTGCGCTTTTTCAGTTCCCCCGTTGTTTACTTACTCTCATTTGCTTTACTGCTTCTTTTGCATTATCGCACGCCGATTTTAATGGAAAGCGGGATTTTTCGCAAAAACATATTACATATTATTATTTAACAACCGATAGAGCCAGGATGTGTACTATTTACATTATTTCTAAAACATACTACGTCTTCTCTTAATAAAATAAATTATATATATATATGTATATACAGATAAAAGTTTCAACGTATTCTTAAAACTAGGTGAGAATCACGGAAACAAGATGATTTCCAGATACAGAATATTGAGCTTGACGAGATTACAATTCTATAAATTTTTGATAAATTCGCTACTTGATTCAAGAACTAATTTCGCTGTCTTCCGGATTGCTTGTGCTGTTGTCATGATTTTTATACGCCGAGAAAAAGGCCAAAGCTTTCATCAACTGGTAACTCTTGCTAATAGGTATATTGCTGTCGTACAAGCCCTTTGATGCTTTGCAGTCTACGTAAAACCACCAATTGCATTTCAGAATTGTTTGATCGAACAGCGTCGATTCCGGACACAGGAAACTCTTCATGATCAGACCGTCGTCCGTCAGTGCGCAAACGTGGAACACCTAATTGTACGAAAATTAATTTAAAAAATTCTCCAAATGTCAAGAATAAAAAGCTTTTCTATATTCAAACGTATTAATAATCTAATAATCTAATTAATAATCTAAATTCATCATGTAAGAAAAGATAAGTCAATTTTGTTTACGGATTACTTTAATTTATTTTATGTCTGATATAATGTAGTCTTGAAAAAACTTACCATACACCCGAGATCCTCATCTGCATAGAGACCTGGGAAATGTTTCTGATCGCCACAATAAAAGCTCGTGTCAGGTAGATCGACGCGACTTGCAAAATTATCGTCGAAGTTCTTGTCGTATCCAACGGGATAATATTCTCGTGGCGCATTCATTACTTTGGTAGCTCCAGAATTGTACTTACTGAAAGAAACATAAAAATTATATTTTTATCTTGATTTGCCAATTTTAACTATTTACATAGGTTATTTGAAAAAGCTTCGAAACAAAGTATATACACTGCTCCACAAAAAATAAGAAACTTTTTAGACACACAAAATTGAGCAATTTTCAAATCGCTCAAATTTAGCAAAAAATTATTGCAGACGAAAAATAAGAAAAGCATTTTAACGTTTGAAGTTTCACGTGTTTTATAAGTAAAATGTTGTAGTTTTTGACACTTGTTACAAATTTTGCAAAAAATATTTTTTATCGAGCTGCAGAATATTGAGCGTACGTAATTTTAAGAACTTGGCAAGTTGGAATTTTATAATAATATAATAGTTTTGGAGCATTTTATTTAAGTGAAGTTATGGAACATTATATTAAAAAATAAAAATTTTTTAAAAATATGAATCTTTTTTCGATCTTATTCTGAGAACTTTTCAAATAACTTATGTATTTTATTAATATACAAATGTATATTTTATCTTGTTTTCTGCGAAATAAATTTCTGTATTTCTTTGCGTTAATCAAATATTCTTGCGTAATCAATTAAACATATAAAAAGTAAACATATTAATTGAACACGATTACTTTTTAGACGACGCTGCCGTGGGCATTATTGTAGTACTGGTACTTGCTGTCGTGGGTCCTTGCTGTTTTTTAAGAAGCTGTTGTTGTCTCACAAGAATTGCCGCTTCTAAAGCTTCTAGAGTGATATTGCTTGCCTCCGCAAGTGCTTTCAAAGAAGTTTCCATTCCCTGAATGGGAGCCAAGGATGGTAAACTGTCAGGCAGAGACTGTCGCTTTTCGTTTTGTTGAAGAGGTAATGATTGGCTGCTTTCAGTTCCGACAGGCTGCAGTGAGAGTAAAGTCATTTCATTCACTGAAGCAGCCATCTCGTCGCTTGGCAAAGGTACTGCATGTGAAAATAATAATTAATAATTTTTTAATTTATAATCCCTGCAAGCGCACTTTTTCAATTTCTTTCTATACGATATCGAAGAGAGCTAAAGTTTGAACAGCTTATATAAGATATAATTCTAAATAATTCACGTAATAATTATAACACAATAACTGGATGCATAATATTAAAAATAACATAATAACAATATTGGTAAAATTTTAGTAGCATCAGATTATTACACATATAATTACCTGATTGAAATCGTCTTTCGATACTTCATTATCGGAATCCTGCAGCAAAGTAGCACTGCTACTGATTCTGTTTGTAAGCTTTGCCGACGATTGCGGCATCGCAATGAAAGGTGGCAAAGCACCGTTCGATGAGGCCAAATTAGTTGTGGTCTTTAATGCCGAGACGTCGGTTTCGACTAAACCCGGCGAAACTGCGGCTACGATACCAGGTAGCTTCGGCATCGCTCCCGCCACTGTTATTATTTGCGGTTGCTAAATGACAAACGAACGCAGAGTAAATTTTGAGAGATATCATTACTCAGCTTTGAGAATAACTTCAGTAATCACGTACGGATTCATTGCGGTGCTAAAAAATGTGTACACAAGTGTTTTTTATTAGAAAACAATTAAATTAAAAACTGAAAATATGTGCACACACATTTAATACTAAAATTAGATATATATTATTATTTCAAGCGCTTTTTCTCACGTTGAAACAAATATTGAAACAAAATTCTAAACATTAAAAGAATTACTGGATTTACTTGATCCTTCTTATTTTGTACCGCCATGATTTGCTGCCGTTGTGCGAGCATCTGCTGTTGCTTTTGTTGTTGCTGTATCTTTTGCATTTGTTGCTGCCTCATAGCCTCCTGTTGTTGCAGACGTTGCTGCTTCAATATCTGCAGCGCCAACGCTTCTTGTTGTATCCTCTGCTGCTGCTTCAGCTTAGCTTCCTGATGAATTCGTTGGTGTTGCAGGCGCAGCGCTTCCTGCTGTGCCAGCGGCATCGCTGGCACTGCTTTAAAAGCCGTTGAATTTACTACTAATTTTTGACGTTCGGGTTGCTGAGCCAATGGCCGCACCCCTCCGATTGGTAAGGGCTTAAAGGGTGGCACTTGACGAGTATTTAGTGATACCGCACGTGCGTCATCACGACTGTTTGCCTGAAAACAATGAATATACATCTTAATAAAACAGATAAAAATAAAAAAAATTAAAATCCTCAATTTTAAAGGTTAAATTTATTTTTAGATGTTTAGTTTCTCAACAGTACAGCGTATTCCCGGGACACAATTGTGAGAAAGTCATCGCTATCTGACGAAAATGTCAATCGCGACGCGTGCATTAAACGCATACGGCGCACGTGAATGCGAACTAGAACGACATTCATGTACCGGTTGCGACAAGGTCGATATCGACAGCGATATAAATCCGTATTTTCTTGCAGCAATGTAGAAAAACCAATCCTTCTTATTCAAGGCCCGACCTAGATATTCCTCCCAAGATGTCAAACGAACAAAGCGCCAATATTTTACAATCGTTACGCTTCAGTAAACTTTTTCCCACTCGAGAAGCATAATAAGTAAAAGTGAGTGAAATAAAACTTAGGAAACATTGTGCTCGCACGCAAACGGTTACAAAGTTAATACAAGACAGTTAGGCAACCACACGTGAGAACCTGAACTGTATAATATCGAGAGATAGGACGTTTCTAATATTTAGTATCTTCTTCTTCGACTTTTACACTATTTTAAGAATTAATGAAATTAATTATATATTAATGAAAATTTTGCAATACACTGTATTGTGTGATTAAAATATTAATTGCAAAATACTAAACGTTTTATTTTCCTTTATAAAGCGTTTGTGAAATGAAAAGTTAGAATAGAAAAGTCAGCTGTTGCTTATAGCTGAGCGAGATGAAATTGAGAAGATGTTACATCGAGATGCAATTAAATTATGCACCGAGGAATAATCAATTTCAGCGAGTTTATTAACGCTATGAAAAACGTATAAGTGCTTTCATGATGATCCTTTTTTTTGCGTTAGACTTTCCATGCGCTGATTTAAGCGTAACTATCATTTATCTTGCGATATGTATCGTTACATATAAACTATCCGGTCGAAAGTAAATGATATTTTAAGATCGTAACACAAGTACCGATGCAAAATGTTTTGACAAAAAGAAAAGCGGGAAATACAAAAAATTATAATGAATAAGCGAAACTCGCCGTTTTATTTATTTGACTTGATCAATTTTTTACAAATTCTCGTACATATATATAGATATAATTACTATTTTATATAAAAAGTTTTACGATTCTTACGGTTATTCCGCTATATGTAATAAAATATTTTATTTATTTTATAAATAATTGGCATTTGTTATTGATATAAGTAAAGTCGCTGAATTATTTTGGAAAGTTTTACTTACCGTATTTAAAGGACTAAGTAAGAGCCCATTAACTTTGTTTGTTTGCACGCTTCTTCTTTTTGTGCTTTCCAAATTAGACAACGATTGGCTAAAGCCTAACTCGTCACCAACGGAAAACCCTATAATCAGGCGAAGTTGAATTAAATTTAATTTATAACATATTCTGCATATAAACTTTAAATATTTTGAAGAAATGTAAGAGGAGCAATATGCCGATTCAGTTTATTTACAAAAAGGAGGAGACAAAAGAAAACTTTGATAGAAAGTTTTGATAAATAGGTTAGGAGAATAAAGACATAAGAAAATAGATACAAAAGTATAAATGTATCTACATGAAGAATTAAGTTAGCTTAGAAAATCATTATTGATGCACTGATATCCTTTTTCTAATTCCTTTTCTACATTTTATTTCGTTTCTAGAATTATTTTATATATAAGTTGACAAAATTATATACACTTTTTAACATTTCATTCAAATTAAAAATTTACAGATTTACAAAGAATTTTTAGATTCCCTGTGGCTATATTTTTATGTATGTCAGTACAGCCTGCGTTAGCTAACACTATATAATGCATAAACATAATTGCTCAAGTGAAACGGAAAATAGTAGCTAATATAGCTGTGTATTGAACCGGCCTAAAGCCAAAGGATATTGTGTAAAAAGCATTGCATCACTAGAATCATTTTTATGTCTGTTGTTTGCTGACATTTTCAATCCTTACGTTGTGTTAAAATGCAAATCATGCCCTCGTCAAAGAAATCTTCTTTCATGATAATCAATGATACAATTAGGTCGGGTCAAGGCGGTGAATAAATCATTAGCATTTTGTCACTGAGTCGTTAAAAATGTGAAAGTGTGATAGTAATCTGTTGATGGGCAGCATCCAATGCACGCTTCAAGTTGAACAATTCTGCATCAGACTTATATCCGCAAGGCAATCAATACTCATTAAAACATTTTTTATTGATCGTAAATCGCAATCTTTAATGTTAATATAATAGTTTTTATATTTTTCTGTGTAATTAACTAGTGAGATAAAATTATTTACGTAAGAAATTAGAACACAAAAACAATTCGATATAGGTATATTCGTGAAAGTGAGTAGTATAAAACTGAATGTTTCTATCAATATTTGTAATAATTGACGGGAAAAAGAAAATGGCATACAGAATTGCATATGTTCGATTTGCTGTCAAGCCGTTATGACATGGCAATCATCATGTCTCTTAGATGTACTTATCACATCTTTTCAGTCATAAGATACCTTATGTAACGATTGCACGCGATTCAATGCACTTTCCGACATAGTGACACAATAAATGTTTCTACTAGCTCGCACGCAATACGCACTGGCAAATATTGTTATATTATTCAAATTACATTGTTACTCAATCTTTTGAAAAAGATGCGCATAAATATAAATACCAGAAGCCAAACTGGTAGGAATTTATTATGCAAATTTCAAATTATGAACAAAATTACATTTTGGGTCACGTATAATTTAGAAATTGTTACATGTATATTTGTACAGAGAGCATTTCACAATACTGCAAAAAGTCTCGCTTATCCACCTCATTGCGTATTCAAAGTTCGCACCATGCAACATACAAGAACTAATTTATATCAAATGATAAGAATCTCAATTAGTTCTTTAAGAATCCTTGTAAAAAGATTTTTTATACGTAAAACGATTAGCATAATTTTTTACACCAACTTGGGTAACAATAAGCGATTTACGTAATGCATCAAGAAGTCAAATGTAATTAATTTTCTTGCAAAAACAGGCAGATTATAAAAAGATGTATTAAGATAAAAAATTTTTAGAAACACACAGTGACACTAAATTATAAGATTAATTTATATTTGATTATAGCAACTGTGTAAATTTGCAAAATTAATACCAAGCTAGCTTGAATATAAATAAACTGAATCAAATATTAAGTTGATTAAAGTACTTAGTGTCTTAAATTTTAATTAATTTACTTTGTACATAATTTTAATCAGTTATTACATAAAATAATTTATCTTAATCAATAAAAATCTACTTAAATTTTAAATTACAATTAATTAATTTAAAAGTATTAAATTTAAATACACATATATATTAGAAAATTATTTTTTATTAATAAATTAAATGTTTAAAAATAGAATATTGAGTTTACAATTTAAAGACTTTCTAATTTTTTAGTGTAAGTTTGAAAGTAAACAGATGTATTTCGTCGATCCGTGTGATTATTCTCAAGGCCTACTCGTTTGCTCTACAATCTCCTATAAAATTGATCGACCAAATCGAAAACCCAACAACATGATCATTAAAATCGCAATTTTGCTCCCGTAATTCAACTCACCCAGACCGACGTAACCTTTTACACCTCCGAGATTTCTGACCCGGAAGAGCCCGGATTTCCGAAATGCGCAATTTAGCACGAAACCGAAGTCCGATTGAAACACACATGTGCTTAGCGCCTCTCGCCACGTACATCCTGCAAGCAGAACGGGAAGAAACAAAGCCGTGGATCGTTCCTTTGATCCATTGGATCCGAAATGATGATCCACGCGATTCAAATAACTCGTCACATATGTTCAACATAATCGCAAGGTTTCGTGAATAAATATCAATTGTTTTAAAAGCTGCATGTTATATTAATGGTGTATGTTAAGCTTGAATTCACATGCATTTTTTATTAAAAAAGATTTGTATGATTTTAATTTACTACTTTTGTCAAGTAGCTACTGATTAGATAATAGATACAAAAAGTTTAAATTGATTAATTAAAAGATCCAAAGGTTTCGACAATTAAATAATTGTTATAAAGAAAAAAGAGCAAAAAGCTGTTGTTCGTGAAAGAAAACCGTATATTATAATATAATAAAAGTACAAAGTTTTTAACTTGTTACAAGACCAATAATTATTCAAGGTTTGATATTATAAGTATATAAGTATATATTCATTCAGTATATATTATAAGTATATAAGTATATAAGTATATATTCAAGGTTTGATATTACACTCATGAAGGCTTAGTGACAGGCAGAAAAATGTTCGTACTTTTATCATTTTATAATTACAGTTTTCGGCATGACCAACACGGCTACAGTTCTTTTTCTCCTTTTTCTTTACACTGATTATTTAAACTGATTTATTTAATTAAGTTAAAAAATTTTAATTTGTGTTTTTAATTAGAAACAAAAATAAAAAATATAATAATTTAATATATAAATTTTTATTGCAATATAAATAATAAAAATAAACATTATTTCGATAGAAAGTAAAAGTCGTAATGCTGAATAATCAGGCTACAGGTTTATAAGCAATCAATGTCCGCGTATTCTGTGCTATTGATCCTTCGTTGTCTCTTTTGACGTCACGTTTCCAGGATATACACTTTCACGTACTTAATATCTGCCTGGCAAACAGGTAGATAGTAGGTAAATAGTCTTCAATAAAAATGTTGTGAATTTCTGAATCTTCGTCTAACACGGAACTTGAATTAATTTTTATAAATTTGATAATAGCAATATTAAAATATTTTTACAACATTTTATTTGTACACAATAAATCACAAATTATATATTTTTTTAATTTTTAAATAATTGATTATTCAATGGCAATTGTGTAATTAATTGTAATAATAAAAGTTTATCAGTTGTATAATATAAATCGCAATATTTATATAATAATCTAGTAATTCTTATCTTCCAATTTCTTTTCTCGGAAAACACTTTAGTATTAAAAGATGAATAATTTTGTCGCCATAAACATTATGATCCGAAAATAATCGTGATTTATGTCTACGCGTTTTCTCTTTGTTTAAGCGTCTTAGAAATAAGCTCTCAGTTCTAGGCCAAATGCCATTAAATTGCTCATCAAATCGACTTCTAATTTCACCGCAGCAGTTTCTATTTTCAATGACAATAATATTCTCCCTTTTCAATTTATATTTTCTATAATTTAGTGCAATACCATTTTTAACAATTGTAACGTTGAAGATAATTTCTTTTACATTTATCTTCTATTTATTTCATCTTATTGTGCATTATGTGTATATTTAAAATGAGAACCACTCTCGTAATTCACACACAGAATCATTGAAATAATTCTCACAAATGTGTATGGGAATTCATCCTATGGGATATCCATCATTTTCACAAAACATATGAGAATTTTATTCTTCCACTTAATTGTTGAATTATATGAAAACAATTCGCACATAAATGAGTTGAAAGTATTTTGCAAAAGTTCGTTTCTTTATATCATCGAACGAGTACTCCGAAACTTCGTGAAAGGTATTTCCGGAATTTGTTCAAGGAATAAGGAACATTTGCGGAGTCAGACGGCGTGCCATTGGGCCCATAGCCTAGTGACCGACTTAAAACCTGGCTAAACGCCCTGTCGTTGACCGAGCACGATATGTTGTATGGTTCCTACACGGCCGAACTGCTTTCTTAATAAAATATGAGAATTCTTCGCGAATATCTCTGCCTTTTAACGGATATATTTGCAACCATGATTGAAAGTGTAAGTTATGATCAACATTTATAAAAGGCTTAATTTTAATATCAAATCCAACATGTTATGTACTCTTGTCGCGTGAAGAATCTTTGCCATTTAACAATCGATTAATCATGAAGAAGAAAAATGCAGAAATTAACCATGAATCATTTTCAGATGTTTCGCAAACCAGAGAGAGCCGACAGATCGTCTGTTTTTTTTCAATTAGAGGTAGCCGGATAGAAATTAATAAAATTTCATGAAAAACTTTGTGCAGGGCAGCGCACGACAAAGGGAACAAATTGCCATAATGCAGAAATGAGATTAATAATTACAGCGGGGCAGCGGTTATTAATATTGTTTCGTTCTGACGAACTTCGTTATTACCGTAGTTATTATATGGCCAAAAGAGAGACCGAAACGATCGGCTCTTTTCTAGCATCGGATTCATTATACAATCGTGTCGCACTGTGACATACAAAACTCCGCGAAATGAGTGGCGTTTTGCAATGTGGAAAATTATCTCGGTAGAAACTTTGCCGTTCCGGTCCGACGAGCATACAACGTAAACCCTTTTTTTAAAACTCTGGTAATAACTCATCGCGTGTGCGTCACTCGTAATAACAAAAAACAAAAGAAAAAGAACCGAATTCGCGAAATTTCACTGTGATAAATTAGGTGCTGCGCAGTTATATTGATTATTTTGCTCAAAGCAACGTTCAGTGCGTCTGGATTTATAAATTGCATGCTATTAATAAAAAGAAAAAGAATTGATTAATATCTATAATATAGCAATTTTATACTCGATGAAGAAATAAGATAAATTGCCTATAATATATATATATATATGTATATATACACATATATATATACATATATATATGTCTTAATATTTTAGAAATTTATCGATATTATTTCGTCATTTGGAAACCAACTTTTTTATATGTAAGATTATTTATAGTAAATGTTCGAAAAATAGAGACTGTAACTTTTGATGGTACAGACACTTTCACTGCCTCCGCTCTTCAGAGCTATCTGATGTAACAAGTCACGATACAATTCTCAAGAGTTATTCAGGATCGTACGAACGATGGTGAAATTCATCTTTATTCGACCGCGCGCGCGCGCTTAACCGGAATCTTTGCGTCGAACGACATAACAATAGTCATAGACAGGCAAATCGTGCAATACTTTCCCAACGTTGGCCTTCACCTTGACTGTCGGTCTCACTTTGACATTGTTACTCTACTATTTTTTCTCCATTAAAACGGACTCCTCGATTATAAATGGAACGAGAGGAAATCGATTAGAAAGTAATATTGATCGTATCTTGCGAACATTAACTATTCTTAATGATAAAATGAGCATTAAAGACTTGTTAAAGTGTACGTCATGATCTGTTGATTACAGTCTTCGATTCTGAAGAAAGTAGATTATTTACCATCCACAATATTTCTTTATTTTATATTAAAATAAATTGTAGGTTTTTTTTTACTGGGGAAAACATCAGACACGTAAAATTTTTACGGGATATTTTGTTTAACGGCTGAGGAACAAATAAATTCAATTTGTTAATTACAAGTTAATGAATGACAGCATTCAATGACGGTGCGAATGACGTTGTCGGACGCAGCTAAATAGAAAGTATGGTCAGATGATATTTACATAGACGCTGGCCTGATTCCCCAAATACGCATGTAATAAATCTTGGTAAAAGGATATATTGACAGAAACCACCGGCCATTCTTCGAAGTAAGTTCAAATTATCTTTGATCGGATGTTGCCATTTAAAAATCACTATTGAACGAAACATTTTCCTATTTTTGCTACATATACATAGCAAATTAATAAATATTGATTTTAGTTGCAACTAAAAGTAAGCTATATTTTACTAATTATTAAATAAATTATTTTTTTTACTAAGAATTTTTTGCTTGAGAAAAATATTATATATATAATATATATAAAATTGATTCTTATATTATTACGCTATTATTATTTGAATTGTACAATAATTGAAGATAAGATTCATTGATCTGGTTTTTTTCAATCTATTGTATCAGCGAGATCATAATCCAGAAAGAGATAGTCGTTAATACAGAAGTGTGTTACTTAATTCAAGAATGATTAATTCATATTACACACAGTACAATTCAACCGTTAAAAAAATGCGCGTTTCACTTTACCGAAGTAAAAATTTCGGGATGGAGATCTAATATTATCACTTTTCTACTCACCATTGTGTTACAGATAGATATAAGTACGAAAGCTGCTTTTCCGATAATCTTGGAGAAAGTTTTTGGCGTAGTCTTTAATTATATTACGCATCACATTCGATGACACAAATTCTATGTTGCATGCAAAAAAAATTTGCATTTCACGCTCTCTTTCACAGAAGGTTTAACAAAGCCGATCAATTTCTCACTGCTTCCATACTTTTGTAACTGCTATCAATAATATGGAATTATAGTCGAAGAAGCGAAGCCGGTTTTGATCATTTTTTTCTAGATCACTTTCGATCACAATCGTCCAACGATCGAAATTGCTTACTTTCGTCGACTCCCTGATCCATTTTTTCCACTCTACATTCTGCGACGCGTGCACCTGATATTTTTGCACTTTCTATCCTTTATTCTATCATCAGGAAATCAATAGCGATACTTTTTTCTACACTACACTAATTTTTGACCGCATACTTGCGTTATGCATTTTTGTTACGCGCACAATACATCGCGTAAGAAATGTTTTGTTACGTGAATCTCTAAAAAATTAAATTGCGTAAATTATTTATTCATATTAAATTAATAGTATGTAATATTAGGAATATTTCTTCTCTAAGAATATACAAAACAATAATATCTGTGTACAATAAAAACAAAAATTTGTAAAAGTGAAAAATCATATAAACTGGATATTACAATTCTTTCTTAATTTTTTAAATTGGATATTTTTCTTAAAATTTTATCATTGATAATAAATCAACATGGAAAATTTTTAAATGACAATTATTTAGCTTTACTTATTAAATAAAATAAAACAGATTTTACATTTTACGACGTTCCTAAGTATTTTTGTAATATATTTAAAAAAAATAAGACGTCTATTTGCAAATGACACAGTGTATATAATTATACATTTGTTATTAATATTTACACATTATGTACACATGTTTATATATGATATGTACATTAAGTAGTTTCGATGATTTTCTTTCTGCTTTATAAGTTGATAAATAATTTGCGATGCCATGCGTATTTAAAAAAATTTTAATGCATTTCTGAAACGCATAATACTATATTCAATTTTGTATATATTATTTTACAACTTACAAATTATTTTAAGCGTACATATTTACAATTTGACCATTGTAAGATAAATATTATCTTTTGTAATATTTGCACAAAATATTTAATTTGCTATTCGTTGTTGTCCAGAAACGTAATTTTTATCACAATTGTTTTTTTTAACACGGCAAAAAAGTCATCGCATAAGAATCTGTAAAAATTTTTATATCCTTTCTTGATGATTCTGACTCATGACTTATGATGATGCATCGAGTGCAACGTACTGCGGTATCGACCCGAGAAACACTACTTTTTCACAATGCGTAACCATCGCAGTCACGCTCAGATCATCGCAAACAGTAGCGTGAAATTGCAGGAAATTATTTTTGCACGATTCACGTATGTAAGTATGACGTGTATTTTCTGAGAGACGTGTAATGAAAAATGTAAATGCTTAGATGTAAAGTCGCACAAGAGGAACCATATTTACAGATTTACTTTATCACAGAGTGAGAAGTTTCTCCGCTAAAGAGATACGAGGCTATTAGTATAGGAAGAAGTACGACGATATTAATTGATCGAAGTACAGCGTAAGTAATGCAGTCAGTCAAGAATGTACAGACGTCGCACAGAATCGATAGCACAGAATAAAATTATGCGATTCATACAAGGCACAATAAAAAAAATGAGAGAAAGTCCCAGCAACCTGCAACTGCCCAGTAAAAACGCCGTTGGTTTTTGCGATCGATTTTCAAATCCGGCCCTACTGCAGATCAATGTCTTTCGTTATCTACTTAATACAATATGCAAAATGTTGAGAATATCATAATTAAGTAATACAGAAATTAAGTTTTGCAATTAATCTGTGCAAGCACTATAAGTACAAATATCTTTTTAAAAAGAAGCAAAGAAAGTTCAAATATTTATTGCAAAAGTCAAAACAGTTTTGATTAGTTTAATGACATCTAATCAATATGTCAATTTAATACTACTGTTTAATACTTTAATGCTTTCTTAACAACTTAACGTATGATAATTTATTTTGTGAAATTACTATCATATATTTATGCGTTTAATAAAAATTATTAATAATTTAATAAGAAAAGTTTATCATTTAATTAAGAAATGCACCTACAATATTGTAATTTAATGTTATAATATAAAAAATATATAATTTTGTTATTAAGACACGATCATACACAACGCAATTTGGAAATCGAACGCATCTTATGTACTAAACGTGACGTAGCTGGATGGTTTTACATTAGCAAGTTCACAACGAGAATAAATTAAAATTTAAACTTAAAATCTAATTAGTAAAATAAATTTAGCATTTAGTTATTAAAATTACAATATAGTAGTTTAAATATTATAATATCAAAAAGAGAAGAAGGGGGGGGGGGAATTTATTATAAGTATCGCTAAGAAAATTAATCCTAAATTTTGTAAAACAATTCAATATCGCGTTCATGATTCGAAGAATCTTCTTAAAAATGATATTCTTATTTTATCTTTTCTAAAAATGTGAGTATAGCAATATTTCTTTATAAATAAACCATAAGCTACGTCATTTAAGAAAGATGAACTACTTACCGACGACCACGAAGTAGAACAATGTAGTGGCGATCTTCATTTTTGTCAATCCAGTTTCAATTATCACAGAGGATCCTGAGGTGCCGTCGATCCTCGCGAAACGATCCTGAGAGTCACGATTTCCTCAGGACGACGGATAAATTGATGAACTCGATCGAATTGAAAGCACCTCGTGAGGAGAACTTGTTTGCAGGCTGACTGAATCTTCACTGCGAATGATCGATGATCGCCGAGAAACGTGCGACAGGTTACTCGATCGCGCGGATACTAATAATGCATGGACATGCTTGGCAAAGGCAAGCACGCGGAGTACTTTCAGACTTCATCTGATCCCCAGTACCGGTTGAATACGAGGTCTTATGTACGCTTCCCCTCCTACGTAATATACAAGCTGTAGCACTACAAAAATTAAAATTATAACTCTACATTTATCGCAGAAAAACGGGATTGCTTTAATTTTTGATTTTTTAACTATTTATTTAAATTGTGATTCTACCATAAAATCATGAATTTAATATTTAATTGTTTAAGAAATTTCTATTATAATATAAAACAATGATTCTTTATTAATTATTATAGTGCAAAAATTTGAAATTTATGCAGTAAAAGACCGTATGTAAAATTGAGGGGCTATTATAGTGAGAATAACCGGCCCTGTAAGACCCCACCAGGGCCTCATCGTGAACGGCCCGTTCACGGAACAAGTTCGATGCACGGCTGCGAGTTAATCCTGGCGAGGTGCCGGTGACCCACTCGGACGAAACGATAACGGGACCAACATACGTCCATTCAAAGACAACAAAATCGATCGCACTGGTTGAATCTTCGTTCAGAAAATCAGGCAAAACTGCATAACTTATAAAAATCAATTGTATTTAAATATACACATACAGTCACATTTAATTAAAATATTCTGTTTTATGATTCATAAATTGTTTTACTTTCCAACAAAAATTGAGTTTACTGTATGTTAAACTAAGAAAAGTGCACCTGAAAAAAGAAAAATTTATTTTATATTATATTAAAGTAAAAAGACAAAATTTATTTTATTTTACTCTTAATCGCATTTTTTATTTTAATATATTATTTTGTACAAACAACTCTAATTTTTTAAGACATTATTTTAGCTCTGCTTGTAAAATTATACATAATATGAAAAAATTAATATATTATAAAAGAACTAATATTTAAAGTATGTTAGAATAAATAATGTAGTATAAGTATGTTAGAATAAGTAATAACAATAGATAGAGAGAGTATACATTTGCACGCACGCAGATTGAAGCAACATATAATTAAATAAAGTTAAATTATAACAAATTACATTAGATCTCGCTTTAAATTGCAAATATTAGATCAAAAATCACTAATTTAATATATAACAATACAGATTTTAACATTTTTTTTATAAGCAATGTAACATGTTCCGTTACGCTAATTTTTTGACAAAACTGCATTATCGGTGTGAAAAAGACTTAAAAATAACTCAGCGAGAAGATATAACATATTATTCGCACAAAATACACATTGGCAAATGCACTTTAGATTAGAGATACATTTCGTTGGATGCAGTATGCAATTTCAGGCTGTTTTGATTCTAGAAGCTACTAGTACATAATGCACTCGATCATGTGAAGACCGAGAATGGGTCAAGATTTAATGACTGCACTTTACTATTTATAGAACATCAAATTACATTCCTCGAAATATCGAAATTATTTTAAACCTTTGATAAAATTAATCGCAAAATTGTTATTTATTGAATTATTGTTCAATAGGCATTATTTGTTTGCGTTATTTATAATATTTCGTAAATATATTTGTAATGTTAGAAATTATAGAACTGTTTAGCAATTTTTAAATTTTATTAATTATTCTGTAGTTTCGTTGTGCATCGTTTAATAACAACAGTATGTTGCGCTCCACTGTATATTTATAAGACAATAAAAGGAATGAATTAAGAACTAAAGTTTAAAATATTACACAAGAGGTTATAATTTAAAAAATCTAAAGTTTTAAAGGCATATAAAATACATTTAATATATATATATTAATATACATGCAAAATTTCAATGTAATTGAAGAAATCAATTTTGCGTAAATTCATAAAATAAGTATAAACTTGTAATTTATATAAATATATATTTACTTATATAGCTTATTTTAGTATGAATTTATGTGTAATTTATATATTTATGTAAATATAAATATATTTATTCATACCTATTTTACATGTATATTTTATACATATTTGTCGCTAATAAAAAATAATACAATTTTTATATTTATAAAAAATAATTAAACGAATCTTTTTACTTTAATATATTCAATCTTTTTTATCTAAACACTTTATTTGAATAATCTAGAGAGATAAAGATGCGAAAAATAAACTTTTTACGCTTTGTACACTCGGTCACAGGAACTTGCACGGGTGTCAAGGCACATCGAGTCGGCGTGTTTCGACTCTACATATTTTTAAATCATGACTAGTTATGAACACAGCGGCAATGCTGTTTTGGCTGTTTTAAAGCAACTGGAGCAACTGACAAGTAAAATTATTAATATTTATAATATTTATATTTATATCAATATTTATTGATAGTAGAAAACGAGCAATATATTTATTAAATGTTGAAGAAAATTATTTTTCAACATAATAGAAACGTATATAAAGCAATTAACAGAAATAAAAGTATTAGCATGTGATTGTGATGTAGTCAAGGAATTTGCTGGAAATTTTTCAACTTTTTATGTAAATAAAAATATTCGTTTAAACAAATCAAATAAGTTATAGATAATATTATTAAATAAAAATATTACTTTTTTTTCTTATTATCAAGCTAATACGTTCAAATTTGCTTACTTTTAAATCGTTCCTATTATTTTGATAAAATAATTACACTTTTCTTCATTATTCACTATATATATTGCTTAATACGAGCAATGGTTTATGGTTTTTCTACCATCAATAAATATTGATATAAATATAAATACTTTAAATATTAACCTTTACTTGTCAATTATAATATATTATTATTATTATTATATTATTATCATATGTAAATATTTAAAAATTTCAAAACTTTCAAGAATTTTTAATTTATGTTATTCTAATAATTTATTATTCAATAATTAAAAATTCTGCCTATAGCATATTGTTAAAACTAGACAGACAAAAATTTTTTAAGTTATTATCACGAGAAAGAAAAATATGAAAACTATCACAATTAAAACTATTCTACTTCAAGATTTAATGACAAAAAATTAAGTTTGAAATTTAAAAAATTTTTAAATATCTATATATGTACAAAGCATAAAAAGTTTATTTTTCGCATCCTTATGTCATCTCACCATTGCTGAAAATGTCGTCACAGACAGTGAATAGATTTTAAAGTCTATACAAATATATTTTATCTATCTATAAAATCTGTGTATAAAAATATATTTTATCAAAATTTTGGACGGTCTGCAGTATTTTATTTTTGATAATATTACTAATACTGATAAAATTAAAAATATTAACTTATTGTAATTAACTTTTGGTAAAAAACAATTTTAAATATAATAAAAATTTTAAGATTATTATTTTTAAATTGTTATATATAAGCTTGATCAAAAAATTCTATTAAAATCATTTTTTCTTTAAAATTAAAAAAATTTTTTAGCAGTTTTTTTAACAAAAATGAAATATGTTTGAGACAGTCAAGTCAAATAAACATTATGTATAATTATGTTCTAATTTTGTACAAAAAATAAAAGCGGTTTTTACACTTGATTAGATGTATATTTTTCCTCCATTCTTTTTAGAAACAATAAAAATAAAAATTTGTAAAATATGATTCATACATAATGCCAAACAAAAACGGGCAAAGTCTTAATTTAAGCATATTGTGGTCAAACATTGCGAAATATATATTTTAGTGACATAAAAATGTAAAAATTTCAGTTTAAAAGAAATTTACTTTGCAAAATTTTACTTTTACATTATCATTTTCTCATGATACTTTGTACTCTATTTAATTTTCCGTAATGGTAAATATTGTTTTTGATATATTACAATTACATGTATCATTTTGGTCAACGATGCATCGATGTTGAGCTGCGTTTACGTTTTTAGCAGGCAAATTATTAATGGATTTGAAAGATTTAGTAGATTTAGTAGACACAGTAAATTTTGAAGATTTAGGAATGCTTTTACAATTGATATCAAAATTTTCCTTATCTTCAGGTAGTTCAGAATTAATACAGCAATTCATTTTTGGATTATAAATCATATGTTTATAACTTGCCACATCTTTTGTTACAATATTGTAATCCTTTAAAACGTGAGAATATAATGTGGAATAAATAGGATGTTTTATGGAATCTACTTCAGAAACTTTGTCGTGTGTTTTAGTTTCTATCACATCATGCGTTTCTTTGATTTTAGTTTCAACTTGTTCTAGATCGACCGATTTATTGTCCATATTTGTATCTCCTAATTGCTTTATTAGCTCACATTCGTATTTCCTATCATCGATATCATTTAATTTTTCTTTTGAAACTTGAGATGGTAGTATTTTCGGAGATTCTTCGTTACAGTTCTTGTTTGTGACTTCACAGTTTGATAATTCCTTTGTTGAACCGGAAAGTTCAGAAACAATCTTCGGTGTTTCGGTCATATTGGGTAACTCATCACTATTATTGATCTTAGATGTCGATGTATTCTTAATATCATCCAAGTTTTTCGTTGTGGATGAGAAAGCCTTTTGCGAACACTGCTGACACATGGAGTCTGAGGGCGTTGTCTCTTTAGATGACTGTCCTTCGTCTTCGAAGATAAATTTATTGAAAATTAAAGTCGTGACTTCTTTTATACAAGTTGTCGCTTTCGAGACTACATGGAAAATAAAGTTTTTAATCTGAAAAGACTTTTTATCTATCCACTTTGTGCTTTGATTATCGGCTGTTGCCTTTTGACTTTCTACATAGCACTCTTTCCACGAAGCAGCAGTCTCCTTCTCCAACTTTTTTACTCTTCTTATCAACGTTTTCATTCCCATTCTGTTAATTTCATCGTCGTGCTTGTTTATCTGATTTTTAATGTTGTCAACTTCGGTATTAAATTTTCTTATTTTAAATTGCAATTGATTAATTTCAGAATGAGAGTCGATGATATCATGCATATTATCAAACTTAATATTCTGCATCTCATATTTCAATTTCGAAACTTGTTTTGTCAATTTCAATTTATTTGCATTGAAGTTTGCATATTTAGTGAGCCATTTCTCCGCAACGTATATGTGATTAATCTTTTGAAATTTATTAGTAAGCTGTCTAATTTTTTGTATGTTCTTTTTTAAATCAGATTGAGAATAATTTTTCTGTTTTAATAAAGCTTCAGTGTTATCAATGGTTTTATTCAATATTTTGCTTATTTTTCTTAAGGTTCTTTTTGTATGGTCTTGTTTTTCATTTTTCGTTTTCTTCAATACTTTGTTTACAATTTTTAGCGCTGTATTTTCTTCATTTAATTCCATATCGGCTTCTATCTGTTCCGGCTGTTCTACAATGTCATCAAACTCGCTAGTCTTCTGTGATCTACCAGGAAATATTTCTTCTAAATCATTCTCTTTTATTTTATGAGTCTTCTTCAATTTTTCTCTTATTAAGAGATCTTCTTCTGATAAAGTATTAAATTTTGTATTTATATTTTTTAAAGCGTGCTTATCTTCACTCTTCAAAACTTGATCTTGCTTTGTAAATTTGGTATTAAATCTTTTATTTATATGATTAATCGGCACGACCTAAAAACCAATAAAATTAATCTTTATAGCCCTTTTTTTAAACAACACAAAGTTCAAGTTATTGAATGTCTTCAGAATAAAATAATTTATCTTTAGAACATTATATCTTTAGAATAAAATAATGTAATTATATTAACACTAAGAAAATCATGTTATTATAATATTATTTATAAATTATAATTTCTTTGAAAAAAATAAAAGTCGTAAAAGTATAAAAATTAAATTACTGTAGTAGTGGCCGTCCGAACATGTTAACAATAAATATAGTATAAACACAAGATACACGAAGAAAATTTTATATAAAAAATTATTATGACACGACAATAACTGTGGATCAGAAGAAATTATATGTTTAAATACTATGGCCATTATATGAAAAAAATAGTATAAATTTTTATAATTCTTTCATGGTCTGCGGTTCTCTACTGCCGTAGAGTAATTTTTGATATAAAATTTTTTTCGTGTACAGACGATTATACATATGCACAAATTAATAAAATAATTATCGATGTAAATGTATTAACGAAACGAGTTTTAACACTTGTGACTTCAATCTATCGACTTACATAAGATTTTAATCAGTTGACTTCAGAGATAGAGGATTACCAATAACGATTACAGAAAAATGAAATAGAAACACAACAAGAAAATAGACAGATTAAGCAATATGTAGAGCAAATTAACAAAAAAATATATCCGATAATATAGCGTATAGTAGATAAGTGTGATAAATTTAAAAATTTTTAATTTAATCGTTAATATAACGGTAGCGCACATATCGTATGTACTGAAGAGGGTCATGAAGATGACCGAAACGTATATGTAGTATATACAATAAACATTTGATAAAGCACGAACAATAGCTTTGGCCTACTTGCTCAATTTCACATTTATAATTTAAATATTGAGACCTGGATCTATAGATTTATTTTTTAATGAAAAATGTGTTAGTTTTAAAAGTGCGTGAATTTCAGTTATATTTATATAATAAAAGAAATAAAAAATCAGGTATTGCTTTATATGTTTTTTGATGTAAGCAATAATATTACAATATCTTACATATGTTTAAGAAAATAAAAAATAAGATTGACAATCTTTAAGAAAAAACTAATGATTTAGAAATTTCAACAATAATTATGTTATGGAATTTAATTGTGCACGCACACACATATATTTATAAAATTTAAATTTCTTATTGCACGAAATGAAACAGTTGTGGAGCTTAACATAAAATTTTCATATTTATGAACATTTAAGGCTATGTACTTGTATATTTCTCATCGTAATTATTAAAAAATTTATATATATAATAATCAGACGAAAATTTATGTAATAGATCGTATTGAGTACTGTGATAGATTCATAAATTATTAAAGATATTCAAATAAAATCATATTCTCGAAGTATTGATAAATAATTCAAATATGTTCTACATTGAGGCGAAATTTCAGAGGAAAAGTGGACCAAGTCCTTTTTAAATTCATGTATAAATTAGAAAAAACAAAACAATTTTTACTGAATAATTTAAAAATAAGTGCAAATGTTTAAGTTAAAATTAAAAGAAACTATAGCATCTATGAAAAACAGTATACATGTTGCGCACAATTAGAACAACTTTAACTTTAGAACTAACAATTATTGACAATTATAGAACTAACATTAATTTTCTAACAATTAATAAAAATGCAAGAATGCTTTTCCTCTGAACCTCTCATTTATCTTACATATTACGATTTAGTAAATTTCAATTTCAATGCTTACTTACCTCAGATTCTTGGCCAATATCAGCCTTTTTTACGTTGTACTCTTGTGATAACACTTTTTTTATCAGGTTTGATATATGAGTCTCCAAAGTACTATCTTCCATTACGGTAGAGATCTTATATTCTGTCGATCTGTTGCTAGTGAATACTGAATAACGAATGTCATTTACATGCTTCAACGGTTGAGAGAGTCCCGTAGAGTGGTACGAAAGTAAACACAACATGACAACGATAATCGACATCGTTGGTCTGATTAAAATGTGCGATTTTAAACACAACATAATATCGTCGAATAGCCTCTTGTACCGATCAATATTATAATACGTTAATCGCCCATTTGCAATATGTTTTAAATTAATTTGCATATGCAAATAATAAATAAATATATATATATATATATATATATATATATATATATATATATATATATATATATATATACTATCTT